CCAGGTGATCCAACTGTGCCAGAACAGGACTAAGTGATGTTTTTTTTATGTTGACATCGGATATAGAAAGATTGTTCCATTTAATTACAGTGTGAGATTGAAAAATCTCTGGCTGAGTAACGGGGGGAGAGGGAGACAAGGTGTCATAGTCTTTGTTCCATCTCTATGGTGAAAGGAAATGAAACCAGTGGAGTCATCGGTTTCCTCACAGCAGGGAGCTGGAGCCAACAAATAACTCCACTAAAAAATAAAACAATGGGCCACATGTTTACAGGCGTTACTCCGATGTCCACAGATAACACACGGAATGTCGAGTGTGAAAAGAGGAATTTGGTCTGAGTTCTAGAAAAGGAAAACAACAACAACGACAACAGCAGCAATGTTGTTTTCACACCAATACTATCACACGCCTGTTACAGGACTGTTACATCTGTGTGTTTCATTGAAACCCCTTTGGAGGTAAGCTCTGATTGGCTGGCATGAACGGGTGACCTGTAAAGGTCGTCCCCTTTCTTTAAGGGTTGGCTTTTACTCGCCCTTTAACCTTGACAAGAACAGATGGATTACATGGATGACGGCTGAGACAGTTCTGTAAAGACTTTTCCATCCGTGGATACAGTTTCTGGCCTTGTACACCCTTGAAACAAACAAGAATTTTCGCTACTTTCCGCTGTCATTTGTTACGTAAATGGGCATTTAAAGTGTCTTGTCTTTTCACCTCAAGTCCAGTTTCGATCTTCATCACCTTCTCCAGGTCTTCCATGGTCAGACCTCGTTCTTTGCTTTCATTTCTTCCAGCTAAACTCCCTCTTCTTGACAGGAGCACTGTCCATTCTTCATCGACACAGACCTGACTCTCGAACAGGATCTGCTGACTATCGCAGGCTGCATTGGAACCACAGCGTTCCCTCTGATCCGGTGGGAGTAGGTCTTCTGATGCTTCATGTCAGCAGAACACAGCTGGAATTTAAAGGCTGCCTGAAATCCTCGGCGAAAGTTCTCATTGAAGAACCCGTAGATAATGGGGTTGACGCTGCTGTTGAAGAAGGCCAACCAGTGAGCGAACGGATACACGTAGATGTTGATGATGCGATGCTGGTGTTCTTTCAGGCTGGCGTAGTCACTCAGCATCATTAGTGTCCACAGAGGGAGCCAGGAGAGAACAAAGAGAAGGGCCACGAGAAGCAGCATCACAATTGCCCTTTTCTTCTTCCTGGAAATTTTGTGCCGTCCTTCGATGTTCAGTTTGTTGTTACCACTTCCTTCGGCAGACACACTTCCCGTGGTCCTCATTACAGGAATTGTGGTTTTGAAAAGCGTAAAGCCGATCCTGGTGTACATGACGACGATGAGGCTGAGAGGCGCGAGGTAGATGTTGGCGAAGAGAACCGTGGTGTAGATTTTTCGCATCTCCTGATTGGGCCAATTTTCCCGACACCAGTAGAACGGTTGGGTATTGTTGTGGTTCAGCACGATCCGTACCCTGTGCTCTTGTGTGACCTGGAGCATGATGCCTGAGGGACACATGATGAACACTGCCAGGACCCATATAATGACAATAATTAGCTTGGAGGTAGCGATGGTCAGTTTCTGCTTGAAAGGGTAGACAATGCAACGAAACCTGCGAAGAACAAAGAGGATTTGAGAAAAAGCACAAAATATAAAAAACAAGGCAACAGGAAATACTACTAATAAAATAAGTCAGCTCACCTGTCAACAGCTATGGCCACAAGAGTGAACACGGAAGCTGACACAGATATGCCTTGAACCATCCCGCTGAGCTTGCACACTACTCTGCCAAATGGCCATCCTGCAAAAGATGCCAGGAAAAAGCATAAATATTTTCCATTTTCACGTCAAAGCCTGTCATTTTTAATGGGTCACAGGATGGTGTTGTTCATCAGCAGAGACACTACCCTCAGTTTGTATTTTCTAATTGCCCTCTTGGTTACAGGTGACCAGAAAGAACACTTCTGGATGAATATGTTTGCCATAAGAAAAAATGGACAGTAATACTTGGAAGTAATACAAAAGAATACATGCAATTTGGCAAGGTTTTTTTAGTTAAATGTAATTAAAATTAATGGTTTACTACATTCCTATTTTTCCGACTTATAGTCGCTGCAGAGTATAAGTCGCACCAGTGACTTATAGTCACTGCAGAGTATAAGTCGCACCAGCCAAAAAATGTGTAATAAAGAAGAAAAAACAAACATTTATAAGTTGCTTTGGAGTACAAGTCACATCAGTGCCCTCTAGCGGCAGTCAGTGTGAAAATAACAAACATGTAAACATATATTTGACATACTGTATAAGTCACACCTGTGTATAACTCACAAACGCAGCCAAAGGATGAAAAAAGTACGACTTATAGTCCGAAAAATATGGTAATTAAAATCAAGTTTCAAGTGTTTGACGTCATTAATATCTCAAACACACCCGTGCAGTACCTCTGTGCAGCCCATAGGCATTCCACACTCTCCTGTTGTTTGGAATATTAAAAAGAAATGTTTTTATTAAAGACTTTGTTCAACGTGGCTCCTCATCTTTATTATTCATAGAGGTTTTTAACCGTGGTCTTCAGCTTTCACACCTAAACATAATTTGTTGTTGTGGAATTAACTCAAACTCAAACATACACACCTGTTATGATGTTGTCCACCAGGGTGGTGGGCATGCAGAAGATACCAACCAGCAGGTCACTGATGGCCAGGTTGAGAATGAAAATGTTGGTGACCGTACGCATGTTCTTACTGCGCAGCACGATGAAGCACACCACACTGTTCCCCACCATGCACGTCAGAAAGATGAGAAGGTAGGAGATGGTGAAGATGGCAGCCACAGAGGACTTATGGAGATAAAAGTCAACAAAGGTGACATTCTGGTGGAGGACGACGCCCTCCTGTAGCGTTGAAGAATCAGTAGTGTTGAGATCTTCCCATGAAGTGTTGGTGACCAGATTGTGAGTCATGGTGATACCTGAGTCAAGATACAAACAGAGAGATATTAGGACAAGCCTCGGTGCATACGTTCAACCCAGGAGTCCATACGTATATGAATAGATTTCAGTACTGTCTTTGACTACAAATCAGTCATACATTCAATGTAGCAGTGTCATATGTTCACAAATACACTCTAATGGAAAGCAGTTCTGCAGACCAGGAAAAAGAAATCAATTGGTAATTAGTCTTCTCTCTGCTGGGCTCAACGTCATTCAAGAGAGCAGAGGAGAAAAGAAAAAAAAACACACAACTGGTCGTTTGATTAAAGCAATTATGTGAACCCAGTTCTACTAATGAAAAGTCAAATTGAAATCTCTCTCTTAATTGTGCGTACAGGTTTGTGTGTTAAAACAGAAACAGACGGGGTTTGTTCAGTGATCCATAGTCTATAGTTCTGTGTTACATCCTAATAATAATAATAATAATAATAATAATAATGATGATAATAATAATAATAATAATAATAATGATGATAATAATAATAATAATAATAATGATGATAATAATAATAATAATAATAATGATAATAATAATAAAATTACAATAATAATACAATCACAATAATAATAATAATGTGTCGTCTTTTTGCCTGACAGATTGCTGTACAGCTTGGTTTAAAATCATTAAATTAAAAAAATTAAATTATTTTAAAACAAATGATTCAAAGGATGTAGCCCTGAACACAAATTTTTATTTGTTTTCACAGTAACACTTTTGTGTCAATTACATGTCAGAATTGAATTAAAAATAAATGAAAATCAAATTCTCTCTCGCAACAGGAAAATCCACACGGCTGTATGTACAGACGCAGACTCACAATATCCAGTAAAAAAACAAAGTTATTTTTCTTACCTGACAATTTGACAATTTGAGTCCCGACTGTATCCCCTCTCTTCTCCTACAGATGGTACGCGTATGCGGTTCTTAGAAATACCACCTGCTCAGAGCTGGAGACAACGTGCGCTCCCATCTCCTGTGCGTCTGTGCACTGGAGGAGACTGCTGTAGCTGCTGTAGATGACAGAGGAGAGATCAGAGTCACTCAGGAGAGAGGCTCGGCGCGGGCAGTTCAAGCGCTGGCAGCAGAATGTGCCAGAGGGCGTCGAGTGAATTAAACATTTTATTTCACTCACCTTCTGTGCCAGTGTGGGTCGAAGGTGAGGCTGCTGGAAATAAGACACCAAAGATTGTCTTGTGCATCACACACACACACACAGTCGAACAGTAGGTGTAAAGAAATATCTCAACAGCTCAACCAATTGGTTACTGAGCTTCCATCCTCCCCTCAGCTGCTCCTCCTGCTCTCATCATCAGGTCCTGCGTAAATGATATCTCACCTATTTCCCCTCACGCTCCTCACATCTCAAAAATGTGACGTTTGCGTGGAGAACACGAGTCCTTCTTTAGGATGAAGTGTTGTAATTGGAGGATGCACCTATGGTGATGTTTCAAATAATAACTTGGCCGATGCCACAGAAACATTCCTGAACGACTGTATTTCAAGCACAAAATCACAAAACCAGAACAACCTTTAACAAAAACCAACTTTTAAAAGATTTCCCGTTTGGTTGTTTTGACGTTGGCTGCGGCCAACATTAGCATTAGCCTCTGCACCGCCAGCTGATTAGACGTCAAGTGGAAAGCACTTGGCAGTATCATCAGTCTGTCCACAAGGAAGGCTGCAGTTTTTGTGTGACTGATTAGACGACGACTGATTAACATATTTATAATTCACCACCGATGGCAGTTCATTTGGCGAGGCAAACATCGGCCAATACCGATGTTCATACGATGTGTCGGTGCACCAGCCCATTAATAATCCATGTCCGGCTGAAGGTAAAATCCTCTTATCTCTAAATGTTAGATCTCATCTAAAGAGAGATGATGGATTTAAGTCCTGGAAGCAGCACTCCGACTGGGTTCAAAATGGAAACGGCCTTGATCTCAGGGATCTGGAAACAACAAAAAAGGTTTCTTGTACATCATACTCTGTCATATGAAGTACTTCAGTTCTGTGTGGTGTGGATGAAAACATCAAAATGTTTTCTTCAACACTTGAAGACTAAGAGCAGAGATCTTGTCAACACTGTCACCATCTCTTCAACAGTGGCTGACAAGTTGCAATGCTAAACATCTATGCAGATGACATGGTTTTTATGGTACTATGGTACTTTATGATCAAATGTAAAGCTGTAGTTCAGACCTTTCCATGATGAACAGATGCTGTCCTTAAATAAACCTCTATTTCTGGTAACTCCTACAGGTGTTTGCTGGATAATTTAATTTAAAAAGTAGCTACAGCCAGAAACCTTAAGTAAATAAATCTCTCTCCAACTCAAAATGAACCCAACCATCGTGTGTAATATTAATAAGAATGTCAGTTCACTTAATATTTGATTTGAAGAATTTTCTTATAATATCTGGTTACCTTCGAATTCCTGTTCTTTTTAATGAAAATTGCAAAAGAAAGAGAGAGAGAGAGAGTGAGAGGTAGGGAGAGAGAGGAAAGGAGAGAGAGAGAGAGCGAGAGAAGGCAATACGAGTAATAAAAAATAAAAGAAAATTTTACCAATTGGAATGTTTCATATGGAGAATGTGAAAACTTTTTTCTTGCCGAGGGCAACGCATTAACACACCTAGCCTCATGCGCTCTCTCGCTCTCTCTCTCACACACACACACACACACACACACACACACACAGACACGCACACACACATATATATATTAATTATTCAGCTGTATAATAATAGTAATTTCCTCATTAGACACACTTGGGGAAAAGTTTTTAATTTCCACCGAATGACCTCAAGCTTAAAATGCAGTACGTTGTGTCCGACCGGACTCACAGAGCGCAGGACAACGGCTTCTCTTAAGTTCAGAAAAGAAATTCATTAAGCGTGAACACATTTTACGGACTATAAGTCGTTCTGGAGTACAAGTCGCACCAGCCAAAAAATGCATAGTGAAGATTTTTTTAATCTTTATCTTTAAAAAGTCTATTTAATTGCCAAGCGAATCTCCTGTAGAAGACTCAGTTCTCGGAGGTTTTTAACCCTGATCTGTGATTGGCCGTAATTTCTCACATCAGATGAGCCACTTCTGTGATTTTCCTCTGGGTCCCGGCGGCTCATTTATCAGAACACACCGTGATTTATTTTTCCGACTGTGCGTTGAGGTAATCATTCTTCTTGTTTTTGTAAAAGTTAAATTCACTGTTTTTGATTCGATTCGGTCTCCGTCACCTCACAGCACGTCGCTAATTATTGCTGTTGTGTTGTAGAACCGGGGGGGGGGGAGTCCCCGGCACAGGTTTTCTCCAGTGACTTTTGCCCCATCACAGGTTCTGATCTGATGAAAACAAAAACACATATGTAATTATAATAAATGTGCAAAGCAAGGTGGCACACTGTCAACGTGTTCTCAGAGCTGAGTTCTAAACTCCGCAGGGAGGCTAACGACTGCAGCTCTCCGCAGACAGTTTAATAAGGAGGTAAACAGAGCAGAGGGGCATGTAGCAACAAACTGTCTTAAGGACTCCTGCAGCCTATCATTACTGGGCTATTTACATTCTCAGTGCAGGAAGACAAACTTCCTGTTGCAGTGAATTACCAAATTCAAACTACAATATGTTTTTTAGGACTTTTATTTTCGAAACATTTTAGGAAGGTTCAACTTTTCTGTATAACGCAACAATTTATCTTTTTACCTTTCCACAAAGACGACATAATGCAGATCAATGTGGTCCCTGGAAGAGTTCTGCTGGGCTGGTGTTGTCTTCATACTTTTTTCAAATTCAAAACCCAGAAAAATAAACAAAAACAAAATGGATATGCTATGCGTAGGACGCATGACTATGCGTGTATATATGTAGGAATGTAGGAATGTATGTATGTATGTTTCCTATTCTTCATCTTCTTGATGGAACTCATCGTCTAGTTTCTTTCTACAGCTGTGTAAAGCTGGATTCAAGCCTTGTATGTGTTCATACTTGGGCAATATAAGTGATTCTGGTTCTGATTCTGGCTCTGATTCTAGTTTTGGTTTTGGTTTTGGTTCTGGTTCTGGTTCTGGTTCTGGTTCTAGTTCTGGTTCTGATTTTGGTTCTGGTTCTGGTTCTGATTCTGATTCTGGTTCTGGTTCTGATTCTGGTTCTGGTTCTGGTTCTGATTCTGGTTCTGGTTCTGGTTCTGGTTCTAGTTCTGGTTCTGATTTTGGTTCTGGTTCTGGTTCTGGTTCTGGTTCTAGTTCTGGTTCTGATTTTGGTTCTGGTTCTGGTTCTAGTTCTGGTTCTGATTTTGGTTCTGGTTCTGGTTCTAGTTCTGGTTCTGATTTTGGTTCTGGTTCTGGTTCTGGTTCTGATTCTGATTCTGATTCTGGTTCTGGTTCTGGTTCTGGTTCTGGTTCTGGTTCTAGTTCTGGTTCTGATTTTGGTTCTGGTTCTGGTTCTGATTCTGATTCTGGTTCTGGTTCTGGTTCTGATTCTGGTTCTGGTTCTGGTTCTGATTCTGATTCTGGTTCTGGTTCTGGTTCTGATTCTGGTTCTGGTTCTGATTTTGGTTCTGATTCTGGTTTTGGTTCTGGTTCTGATTCTGGTTCTGATTTTTGTATAGGTTCTGGTTCTGATTCTGACATGACTGTATCAGCTATTCTTATGAAGCCATGCTCGCCTGGCTAATATTGACCGTTGACCATGTCCTTGGAGACTTAGCAAAGACCGCTGCTGAGAAGACGTGGCAGTTACAAAGGAGTTCACCATCAAAACATGTCAAGGCAAAACCTCCCGCATTGTCCGATGATAAGAAACTTCTAGTATAAAACGGTCCCTTAACGTCTAAACGAAATGCTAGCAAGATGCTCTGTTTCAAGAAAAACTGAAGGACCGAACACTGCTGGGTTCTTTCTTCTGGTTCCTGCCTCCTGACCTTTGAATGTTAACAAGCCTGAATATTATGCTACGCCCACCTCTGTACGGCTTCACATAACCATGGCAAAGGTTGAACAGTGAAAGAAAGATGGGAAAGATATATTTATTCATTTATATTATTTACCCATTAAAAAAGGCATGTGTGTTTAACCGTGTCAATGTACATATATTTTTGCATATATTTACATATATTTACGTGTGTATATATGTAAATATATTTTTGCAGTGAAAATACAGTGGGGCTTTGAGATACAAAGTGACATTTTTATGAGTTTTCCAGGTTACGACTTTACAAATTTTTATTCAATTGGTTTTTAGTTATTTTTAATGAGGAAAATGCCATTTAGATACGAGTGGATCAAGATATAAGTGCTGTTTTGGAACAGATTAGACTCGAAGCCCCACTGTATAATTCATTCTAGATAATTCTGAACGGGTCAGCAGTGCACAGATCCGAGGACGAGCTGTGATAGCACTGTGACGGGAAACTCACACAGAGTGAGAAGGCAGTGTAGCGCCTTCTAATGATCCTCGTGCTGGGAGGGAACACAGTGATGCTGTCAGTGCAGTTAATTAAGTTGGTATACGTGTTTGAAGCACAGCTGCAACTAATCCAGGGAGGCTGCTGCTATTTTACAAAAGCATCCTGACAGAATTCTTTTTTATCAACTCTATGAATCAAATAATTAGCATATTTTTCTTTTAAATAGAAATAGATCAAAAAGATTTGAGTCAGTTTCCATGATACCCTGGAATGATTTCTGCCGTAGCCGAGGCTCTGGTTTCCTGCAGTGGATTAGGTCCATGGCTCCTTTTCAACTTGGCTGTTATTAAAATACATATCCCTCTATTTACAAGAATATACATTTCCTTATAAACACAATGAACACCCATCCTTTACTGTGATGTGCAGAGTACTATGGTCTGGTGACGCAAAGAAAAAAGACATTTTCACTACAATGGGCTCTCTGATGAATGTGCTGTGATGAAAGAGTTCAGACAGGTTGCGTACAGTGAATATTACATCGCATTGCATTGTATACACGAGTAAATCACAAAGGTCCAAGACACACGATGATTACAAAAGGTGTGCGAAGAAGATTTTTTTAACCCTTACATTTGAATAATTCATATTGATGCATATTAAATTGTAAGAGAAAACATTATATATATAAACATACTGTACATACAGTATATACACACATTAATATATATAAATATATATACACATATAAATATATAAGAATGTATATAAATATCTACGTATACACATACATATATAAATATATAAGAATGTATATATATATCTACGTATACACATACATATATAAATATACAGGCATGTACAGTATATATAAATACATATTTATATTTACATAGTCCTATACTATATACTTAACAATATATAACAAACATTGCGATAAAATATGTTGCAAAATTAGGCATTTTATTCGTTTTTTTACTAAATGGGATTTAAAAGATTATAAAAATTCGACCTCACACACCGCTCACTCACTCACTCGACATTTTTCCGACACCAAGAGACACAAGTTTCAAAGAAACTTGTACTGTTGTGTAGGATTGCATCACTGCGCAGGTGTTTTTTTATTTTCTTCTGTTTCTCTCGGCCTCAGATGTCTGAAACTTTCACAGCTGATGTCATGTTTCATGCAGAAACATCTTCGTCTGTACCAGGTCGAGCTTTTACAACTCAGTGGATCAGACAATTCATGCACTAGTTATTTAGTCTTGTGTGATCAGACAAGTCTTTTGTTAATGCTCATCGTAGTCATGGTTCAAATGTACAGGGAGGGATAATGGGTTTTTAAGTAATTATTACTCATACTCTGAAGGTGAGATTATTAGAGTATTTTTCTCAAATCTTGGTCAAGAGTTTATTAGCCATTCTACATCGCTGTAGTCCGTTGAGACGATCAGGGACTTCTCTAATCCTAAATCAAATCTTCACTCTGAAGTGACTATAGGTTTGTATGAATTGTCTATATATGTATGTGGCCTCGCCCAATGACAGCTATATTTAGTTCAATTTACTTGTAACGTGAAAAAAGTAACAAGAAAAGACAAAGAAAACGCCTTTTCAGCAAAATATCTTAAAGCATGGAACACAATGTATCTTTATAATAGAACTGTAAATGTAAATTATTTTTTATAAACGATGAATAGACTTCAGTAAACTTTATAACTGTGAATATGAGACACACACTAGAGAAGACAACTACATTTAAATTCCGCTGTTAAAAGACTCGATAGTTTGTTGACGAAAAGAAAACTTCATTTAAGACAGTTAGATTCACCAAATTGAGACTAAGTTGCGATTTACCTAAAAGAGGCGGTCAAATTAAAAAGGTCTGTGAAAATGAACACACGGACGCAGGCGAACACACACAATATTTAAGAATCATTGGTTTATTGCTCTTGTTCAAAATGCTACTGCATAAAAAAAAGATTCCCACTTTCATCCGTTTCCTTCTCAGTAACTTCTTAATTTTAGAAATTACTCCAAAGATGCTGGTATAGGATTGAGATTCAGAGATAAATCATAATACTCATAATAAAAATCAGAATACACATCACACAGGAAAGACAAGGTGGTCAACATTTCTGATCTTCACAGTGTCACCTAGTGGATTATTAACTAAGTCAGCATGATTACCAAGCCCTCATCTGGAAACCAACAACAACAACAACAACTCTGGACAGACACGCTGATGAAAATGTGTTTGCCGTACACGTTTCTTCACTGAACACAGTATTGCAGTAGTTCTTTTTCCAGGATTAAAAAAACAAAACATTGCAGTAACTCAATAACAAAAAAAAAAACCCCAAAAAAAACAAAAACACACAAACACTAAAAAACAAATATATGATTGTTTACTTCATTAACAATTTCAAATAAGATCACATTAAATTTAACGTAAAAAACAACAACTGTCGAGTGTTGAATTCTGACTGCGTTTAATATTTAAAATTTAAATCTGTCACCTTTTCAAAATGTTGTGATTATCGTGTGGTCAGAAGTGGTACTTCTTTCCGATTGTCGTTGCTTGAGGATTACAACAAAAGTGATTATTTGTTGAAATTAGAAATCACAAAGTTAAAATCATAAATATTTCACATTTACAAAATAAAAATATCTTAAGCGTCAGTTTAAAAAGGAGGGAACGAGGTTTAAAGATCCCACGCACTGTCGGCAGGAGAGAACACGAAAAAAGGTTTGCATCACAGATGTTGAAATACAGTAGAAGAAGAAATAGTTAGTGGATTACTGCTCTAACAAAAGTGGAAGCAAATCATTTAACAAAAAAAAAAAGAAGTTCCAGTTGATATTTTGTTTGAACGTTAGACCTTCAGCAGAGAATGAATTGCTGGTGATGAACCAACATGGCCGACCTTCGGCAGCCCTTTGTTTACTACAGAACGGAGGCCGTGTCACATGCGTCAACAGCTCTTAATGGTGAATATTTCAAATGGCAGTAGTTGAGGTTCCAGAAGAAATTTTGAAAAATCTACTTTAAAAAACATCTGAGGCTGCTGAAGTTAGAGAGAGACTATTTAAACATGTTTGGATATTTGTATTGTTAAAAAAAACTATTGTGCCTTTTGTAAAACCATTTCTATTTTCTACTGAATCCTCTATATACATCAAGTAATACGCTCCATGGATTATTGTACATCTAAGTATGAAGATATGTACTCATAAAAAACTGCATACTGGTGACTTGAATAAGCCCTTTTGGTTTCCTGTGGGAAAAGCCCGCAGGTGAAGAGGAAACAAAACAAAGTCAGTACCAACAAAATGTTTCAATTCAAAAAGGGAAACCTCCACCCTGTCCCAGTCAGTACCACAGGGGGGCAGAAGTTCACCTTTTGTCATGTAGTGTTTTTCTTTTTACAAGTGGGTTTCTGAGGCCATCTTCCAGAAGAAACCGTTGTCCTTGGAGCCTTTTCGAATCGGAGGCGGACATTTTGTGCAGGAACTCCTCTCAAGACTGAATGGAAACAGGAAGAACAGTACAGCATGAAGTAAATGTGGTGACCATGAAGTACGACTCCATCCTGAGAGAGTGAGACCAGGCTGCTACTCACTCGGCCACGGTGGGAGATTCAAAGTAATGCTCAGCACGGCGAATGTGGGTTAAGGATGTTTTGCGACTCATCACCTGAAGGGGGAGAGAGAGAGAGAGAATCTGGCTTTACCAAAAATGGACGTGACAAACACGGATCAGCGGCTGAGGTGACAGAAAAAGTTGCTTTGTCGTTCATCAGGCTGTAAAAATAAAAGTAAAAACAGCAGCAGCAGCAGCTGGAGAAAGAGGCACGATGATCCTGAAATAGGGGTCTCAAAATCTGGCCTGCAGGCCACATCTGGCTCTCACTCAACTACCTTGGCATGGGCAAACTAAGGCCCGGGGCCTGGATGCGGCCCATTCAGCTTTTTAATACAGCCTGCGAAACATTCCCAAATTACATAATTTATTTAGATGATCATTATATGTACTACTGCCTTTTCCCTGCAATACCCACATTTCGCCAATAGATGGAATCAAAAATGATCAAAGCATTTTAGTCTTCATGCATGACTTTTACATGTTATTTATCTTAGTTCACATGAACACTCCATCTATCTGCTCCTGCCCCTCCCCAACACCGTTCAATTTTAGGCCCGCGAGTCAAAACATTAGCCCACGCCTGGTCAAACTTTATTACGACGTTCGTCTTCACCGCTGTGTTAGAATATGATCAATAGTTTTGTTTGGCACTGAGAATTATTTCAAGTACAAGTTCAGACAGGAAAAATAAATGTAATGTACAATATAATTGATTTGCTGGTGATTTAATTCAGAAAAACAAACATTCTGCGATGTTGTGGTGGTTCTTTAAACGTTCTCAGTGACAGTTGTAGCTCCGAGGCCTATCACAGATTTTGAGACCCTCATTTTACAGCCGGTGTAATCTGACCATATGCATTAAAGATGAAGGCGGATGTTAGCATAGCAAACACGGACTAGTACTCACTATTCAAGGACTTATCCCCCAGCATGGGCTCCTTCTCCATCATATCCATGGAGATTTTTATACTGGGGACTTTGTCGTGGTAGGGGTAGTCAGACTGTGGGAGGAGGGAGTCACATCAACAGAGGGATTTCACCACACGTTAAAGCTTCACAGTCAAAGCTACATATAAAACTAACTGTCCAAAAATGGTCATGTGCATACCATTTTTATTTGTTTTTATTTAAATGTGGTTCACTCACAAAGTCTGCGTCACTGTCGATGCTTCCCTTCTTCTTCTTATTCTTCTTCTTCTCGTCTTCTTTCTTCTTCTTGTCTTTCTCAGGGATCACGTCGTCCAGGTAGCTCAAGTCATGCTGGGAGAACACGTAGTCCATGGCCTTGCGCACAGCCACCAGTGCCAAGATCTACAGAACAAAGAAGTCTTTTGGTTAGATCCTCTGCCCAGAAATCCAAGGGTTTTTTTTTTTATGTCCTGGAGGTTTTTGGTTTTTTTACCATGACAGGGAAGACAATGGCAGCCACTGTGGACTTGAGGATCCAGAGCAGAGCCAAACACAGGCCCTGGATGAAGGTGAAGAGGTGGATGCGTCTCTGGGGCACGTGTCGCAGGTAGATGAGGTCGGGTTGGTGTTTGGCTGGCATCAGGACCAGCAGGAGGCGATCCATGAACTGATACGGACAGATTAGTCTGTTAATGTTTGCTTCATCACAAGCTAACGTTAATAGAGTTGTTTTTTAACCACACTGTTAAAGTGTAATGACAAACATCTATTCTACTTGACACAGTGGCTGAAGATTCGTTCATTTCAATAAAAATAAAACTATACTACTATATTCAAATATATATATTTACACACATATAGCATAAACACACTAAAAAGTGTATATTATGCACACATACATATATGTTGACACATATATGCACCTGCATATATGTTGACACATATATGCACCTGCATATATGTTGACACATATATGCACCTGCATATATGTTGACACATATATGCACCTGCATATATGTTGACACATATATGCACATGCATATATGTTGACACATATATGCACATGCATATATGTTGACACATATATGCACATGCATATATGTTGACACATATATGCACATGCATATATGTTGACACATATATGCACATGCATATATGTTGACACATATATGCACATGCATATATGTTGACACATATATGCACATGCATATATGTTGACACATATATGCACATGCATATATGTTGACACATATATGCACATGCATATATGTTGACACATATATGCACATGCATATATGTTGACACATATATGCACATGCATATATGTTGACACATATATGCACATGCATATATGTTGACACATATATGCACATGCATATATGTTGACACATATATGCACATGCATATATGTTGACACATATATGCACATGCATATATGTTGACACATATATGCACATGCATATATGTTGACACATATATGCACATGCATATATGTTGACACATATATGCACATGCATATATGTTGACACATATATGCACATGCATATATGTTGACACATATATGCACATGCATATATGTTGACACATATATGCACATGCATATATGTTGACACATATATGCACATGCATATATGTTGACACATATATGCACATGCATATATGTTGACACATATATGCACATGCATATATGTTGACACATATATGCACATGCATATATGTTGACACATATATGCACATGCATATATGTTGACACATATATGCACATGCATATATGTTGACACATATATGCACATGCATATATGTTGACACATATATGCACATGCATATATGTTGACACATATATGCACATGCATATATGTTGACACATATATGCACATGCATATATGTTGACACATATATGCACATGCATATATGTTGACACATATATGCACATGCATATATGTTGACACATATATGCACATGCATATATGTTGACACATATATGCACATGCATATATGTTGACACATATATGCACATGCATATATGTTGACACATATATGCACATGCATATATGTTGACACATATATGCACATGCATATATGTTGACACATATATGCACATGCATATATGTTGACACATATATGCACATGCATATATGTTGACACATATATGCACATGCATATATGTTGACACATATATGCACATGCATATATGTTGACACATATATGCACATGCATATATGTTGACACATATATGCACATGCATATATGTTGACACATATATGCACATGCATATATGTTGACACATATATGCACATGCATATATGTTGACACATATATGCACATGCATATATGTTGACACATATATGCACATGCATATATGTTGACACATATATGCACATGCATATATGTTGACACATATATGCACATGCATATATGTTGACACATATATGCACATGCATATATGTTGACACATATATGCACATGCATATATGTTGACACATATATGCACATGCATATATGTTGACACATATATGCACATGCATATATGTTGACACATATATGCACATGCATATATGTTGACACATATATGCACATGCATATATGTTGACACATATATGCACATGCATATATGTTGACACATATATGCACATGCATATATGTTGACACATATATGCACATGCATATATGTTGACACATATATGCACATGCATATATGTTGACACATATATGCACATGCATATATGTTGACACATATATGCACATGCATATATGTTGACACATATATGCACATGCATATATGTTGACACATATATGCACATGCATATATGTTGACACATATATGCACATGCATATATGTTGACACATATATGCACATGCATATATGTTGACACATATATGCACATGCATATATGTTGACACATATATGCACATGCATATATGTTGACACATATATGCACATGCATATATGTTGACACATATATGCACATGCATATATGTTGACACATATATGCACATGCATATATGTTGACACATATATGCACATGCATATATGTTGACACATATATGCACATGCATATATGTTGACACATATATGCACATGCATATATGTTGACACATATATGCACATGCATATATGTTGACGCATATATGTTGATACATATATGCACATACATATATGTTCATATATACACATATACTGTACATATATATCAGGGCTGATAACGCTCACTCATCATTGTTGCATTTACACAAAAAATAACAGGATTTTTTTTTACTTTTTTCACTTCAATTATTTATTTTTATTTCATTATATTTGTTTGTTTTTATAAAGGTCTGTTGCTCACACACAATGTTATATTAATTTGCATGTTAGTGAGTGTCTGTCAACTTCCACCAGCGGTGACTACGTGTCAATAGCTCATCCAACGTGTCACATTAAAAAAAAAGAAAGAAACACTGATTACATTTGAGGTTATTACTATGTAATTACTCAATTATTCCCTTTTGAATTTGGAATAATAATTGGCTGTGATTAAAATTGCTGACCTAAATTAAGGACTTTAACCTACCTGAACTCCATTAAGTGATGCCACGCCCATGTAGAGGAACACACCGTAGAGAACAGGCATGGGGATGAACTGAGGGAGGACAAAAAAACATAGAATAAAAAAATGATTTTAATTGGACTTGAAAGTTTTTTAAGGTCATATAAGAGCAGAAATAAAATCTAAGATATGTTGTATGTTCTTTGAAAACTAACAACAAATTGAACAAATCTCGAATTCAATGTGTAGAACTGAACTAGGAGAGAGTCACAATAATGTCCACTAGAGGGAGCACCCGCACCATTCATCCCTGGGTTTCTTTTTTTTTTTGGCAGCTTTTATGGGTGAACCAACAAGAAAAAGACGGTTGTCAGCAGTGATAACAGAAATAAAAAGTGTTGGTTTCACTTCACATCAGTTCAGTGTGTTCAGGTTTCTAATTACTCTGGATTAAAACAGGCCTGATGTGATCTGGTTATAAAAGAAACAGACACTGATGCTAATCCTGCGGAAGAATTTACAGGCTCTACCTTTAGGATGGGAGCCATGAAGACGGAGAGTCCTGTGAGGAGAAAGACACAGATGCCAGTGACTCTTTGTTCCCTGCAGTGAAGAATGGAAAGAGGGAAAAACAACAACAATCAATCCATGGCATTACGTCATCGAGACAAGTGGAAAAAAGTTGGAATTTCCAGACTCATCTTCGTCATAGCTGTGCCTTAGCAGTTCTTATTCTGTTTCACTGTCCTGTCTTCATAGTACTTTTCTGTGTCATAGATGAAACTGTGTTTTCGTATACATATATTTTGCTGTTTATTCTGCAAAAATGATCATTAAGTTTTTATTTATACTGTAATACCATCAGTATGTTGAACTATATGTTAATTACATAATATCAACTCAAGTTTTTACATAGAACTGGTGATATATATTGTAATTTAAATGTTTTTTAATATGCTTTTAAAAGCCACACTCTGCTAAAAGACAAACTTTGTTATCACTAACAACCAAATAATGATCATCAAATGCACAGATACAAAGAGAGGGCAGTTAAAGTTTCCAGTCTATATAAGCCTCTATGGTATATACGTCAAAGATGAGGCCCGTGGGCCAGACTTTGGCACAATTTTTTTTTTTCCCCAAAAATGGAAGTTTGTAGACTAAGGAGTGTACTAATGGTAAAGTCTGTAGACTAAGGAGTGTACTAATGGTAACTCGATGAGTTTAACGCAGTGGTTGAGATCCATGTGTGTATAACATGTACATGTGTGAGCATTCCCAATACTATTTCTCTAACTTCATTTCCAGTGTATGGTTACCATAAACATCATCACCCATAAGCCCGGGGGGGGTAAAATTCTTTTATCATTTCTACGCCATCTATTGGTGATACGAGGGTATTGCATTTGGCAGAATGGATTAAAAAGCTGAACGGGCCGCATCAGGATGGATTAAAAAGGTGAACGGGCCGCATCGGGCCCCCGGGCCTTAGTTTGCCCATGCCTGCACTAGACCATAAACGCAACTTTGGCAGTTTTGTTTTTTTACCTGACCCCCAGGAACTTGGGCTGCTCCCCAGGAGCTGACGTCTGGGTCTCCATTTTCAGGGAGTCGATGTGAGCGATGGAGATGACAGTAGCTGCCACATACCACGGCAGACCCATGAAGGAGCAGACAATCATCAGAATGGCAACCCAGAAGAGGTCCAGGTGATAGCCTGCACCTTTCTGACAGGAGACAAAACAAACACAGACAGTTTAATCACAGACGTGTCTTTATATTTCAGGTTATTAACCCTGCATTGTCAGTCTGGAGTAAACCTCCACAGTTGGACACAATGGTATAATATGGTGTCCTTGTGAGGCTGACTGAGCTTTCAGTGATCTAGTGATTTCAATGCTAGATTCTACTACTATAGATCAGTTGTGGCTAGAACATCTTGGCTCAAGGCCCAAAATGAGGTCCAAAATCTGATCGTCAGGTCCGTTCAGTATTGGTTGGATGTTGAATGCTGGACCAAATAAAATGTTTCAAAATGTTCTAAACCTAAACCTTCAAAAAGAATGTGGCACAGTTGGTGTATGCCGCCATCTAGTTGCATCAACTGACATTACAGTCAATTCATTGCAATGCATGAAACAGAAGGATTGAGATCAAACTTTACCATAGCTAAAACCAGCATTTAGCGGGCCAGATTAGGAAGCCCAGTGGGCTGTATGTGGGCCACGGGGTGTAGTTTGCCCAGGTCTGCTTTAGTACATCATTCAGTACTTTGTGTCCTGGACTGATCTACTCATGAAACAGAAGAAGTGGGCTGTATGTAACGGCACCCAGTTTTGTGTGTATTAAAAGTGTACAAACCACATGTTTGTAAATATACTGTATACATATATATATATATGCACACATATATATGTATATATATATATATATATACATATATATATATATATATATATACATATACACATATATATACATACATACATATATACATATATATATATAATAATCATTACTGCTGCACCAACCTTCAGTTTATGCTCCTTCCTATTGACGATCACAGCAGTGATCTGCTGATCCATAAAAATCAGAATAGTGACCAGCAGGGCGGGCAGTGAGGCTGCCAGGTACACCCACCAGGGGTTTCCTCCAAATGGAAAAACAAACCAGCTTCTCAGTGGACTTGTGGGCTACAAAAAAAAAAAAAATAGAGTCAGAGAGTCCAAAGTATTTTCACATGGCACAGACTTGGACGAGGACATCAGGATATTAAATGTGATTCTGCGGGTACATCATGACATGAGAGAGAGGTCAGAGAAGGCAGACCTGTGGTCAGACAAAGCTGCCTCTGTTCTCACACTAACACAAGCATCCTGTGTTCTCCCATCACCTATAATCAACTGGTTATTTGATGCAGGTGCTCGCTCCTCTACCCCATCATTACCTTTGTTAGTGGAGAGAAAAGCAAGGTCTCAACACTGGCAGAGGAACATTTGAGCCCTGGAATGATTCAGTTTTAGTTTCGGCTGATATGCTACACAGGACACTGCACCTTATGCTGGGATTTGAAAGAATGACTAATGGGAAGAGAAACCGGTGTCGCCGTGATTTAAGCATGGTGCACGTGTCCTCAGAGTGATCATTTTGAGGTGATTTTACAAAATAAGGACTGATTTCTCAAGACCAGTTTGCTGCAGGTACCTTAAATTCACTGGGCACAATGAGCTTCGGAGTGTTCACGCCAATCAAGGCATCCACGCCACAGAAGAGGAGAATGGTCAGGATGATGGCAAAGTCACTGATGAGCTTCCTTACCTGGAATCAGGAAACATTTGGGGGGAGGGGGGGGCGTTAGAAGGACAAAGAAGCACGAGCAACGCTGACATTTTTCACTGTGTGTTCAACAAAGAATACAAAGCCATTCTTCACCCGCAAAATATTTTTAGATAAACACGGGTGATAATTTTACTTGCTGATTGAGCACATTCAGTAGTGAAAGTGCAATCCAAGCAGATACTGCGCAGACGTACGTAAACACAGCTGTTTAGAGAGTCGTACAAATGTGCACTGAGCTTTACCTAAGAATGATAATCTATATGTTCTTTGATGTCCTGCCGTGACCTTTGTTCTCTGATTCTTTTAAAGTGATTCTAAAAGGATGAAAAGGTGTTTTTTTTTATTTTTTACAAATCTATTGGCAAAACATGTCCATTTGTCCTTATCACAGTTTCGCCATCGTTTGTACTTTGTGGCGAGTTTTTTTTATCAGCCAGACACAAGCCTGATGAAAACACGAGTAACACACTGATTTGAGTTAAGCCGGCGTTTAGATCTGAGAGACTTAGATGTTGTTTAACATGTGAAACATGAGCCTCCCCCCCCCATCCTCCGTCACCTGAGCCTCTCAACTAAACTGGACAGTCAATTGTGTTTAGCAAGTACTTGGACAAGTACACCTCTGTCATTTACATTAGACAATATATATATTTATTTATATGTATGCATATATATACATATATATGCATACATACATACATACATATAAATATATATACATACATACATGTGTACACACATATATATTCACACACACGTACATATATATATATATATATATACACATATATATACACACATATGTTTATGTGTAAGTAACTCGACTGGCTTTGTGCAGGCCGTCTGTCGACCTGACGGTCCGTGCACCGGACGCTTCACTCACTGTGGTGGGGAAGTAGCGGCTGGTCTTGAACTTCTTCAGACCCATGGAGCAGATGTAGGTGCCGAAGAACAGGATGATGGACATGAGGGTGATGTCAGGCACGTAGCCACAGCTTTCTCCCACCAGCTTCCCTCCAAACTCCAGACACTGATGCCTGGTCAGAGACTCCCAGGTGGCGTTTCCTGGCTGCACGTGTCATGACGTAAACGTTTAATCAACCATGCAAAAAGCTGTTCATGTCAGTGAATGGATGTCAGAATGTGGCAACAGTTTAGAGGACACTACATACCACGTCGGTACTATTTGTCCACGGAGAAACGTCAAGGACCTGTGACGAGTTTTCTAAAAAAAAGAAAGCTACAGTTATCTCCTCAGATCAGTGACAACAGCTGCATTAATCACAGTTACACTTTAACCAATCGGTGCTGAACAATCCTGTCAAGTCATTTGTGACTGGGAAACAGAGTTGCTGAGAAAATAAACAGATGCTGTGATCTCCTATCAGGTGTTATCTGCACTGTCGAGACAGTGAAACAGACAAGGTAAGACGGTTCATCTCCGACCGTGTGGACCAGAGGTTTTACCACTTTTAATGTGTGGGATTTTCCCATTTCTCAGCCTTCTCTCCGTCTGTTTCCTCTCATTAGCGACTTAGCTGAGAGTGAAGGAGTGAACTGAAAAAGTTGGATGCCTTCGTCGGTAGTTTCTAGATGTTTTGTTACTTTTTAACCATCCAGACTCAGACAGATTGTTCTACCAGACCACTGCACCTATGAATTCAGTGAGGCTAACTTTTATAGTTACATATTAGCAAAAGCTAATAGAACGTGTTAGCTGTGTGGATGTATGAATTATACATGTGCAGTATTGAGTAACTTGATGGATAAAATGTTGAAAATTGTCTCAATACTTATGTGTGGTGACATATTAAAGGTAACTGAGAATGTCTACAGCAGGGGTTCCCAAAGCGTGGTGCACGCACCCCTCAGGGTTCAAACGCTGCTACTGTGGGCTGCACAAGATAAAACGTGACGGGAGTGTTTTTTTTAAGTAACGAAAAAAAATAAATATTTAAAATTTTTCAAATTAATAAATAAATTCAGGATAAATAAATATATGCGTGTTATGCGTGACAAAAGAAATTATTATGAATATAACGTGTAAAGCTCTAGATAGCTTATAAAATGTTTTCTGATTCATGAAAAAGATCAAAAAAATCCACTGGTGTGACTGCATATAGTTGAGTCTAAATAATAAATAAAAATAAAAGATGAAAATATCTCAGTGAAACAGTTTCCGTCAGTGCAGTGTGGATTGAGATCTGTGGCTGATAAACAAAATAAATAATAATAAAAAGGCTTCCTGACTCTAGATGGTGCTATGACAGGAACGGTGGTCAGGATTAGAATTCCTCAACCACTGCTCACGACCAGACTTTGTCTGGGTCTTACGTACGGGGCATGCATCGACAGTCGTAGAGCGTGACAAGCTCGGGGTCGAAGTTGTTGTTGATGGGGTTGTGGTGGGCCAGCTTTATCATCTTTTTAAAAGCGTCGTAGATGAAGATGAAGCTGATGAGCGCAGAGAAACCCTCCTCGGTGAAACGGGTGAAGTACTGCACCAGGAAGCTGGCGTCCGTCGCGACCAACACCAGGCAGAAAAACGCCGACCACAGACCGATCCACAGCCGGAACTCCAGATAGTCGAAGCTGTTGTCTCTGAAGAGAGAAGAGTTTTGGGTCAGAACAGATTTTTGTTACGTCATAAGAGTGAGATTTGTTTGGGATTTAACTTTAATGATTACAAAAGTGCGTTTGTTTGTTTTGGTTTTTTTCAAACACCCACAGGTGGACCTTCACACTGGACTGTGTGAACCTGCAGCGGCCTCTCTAAGGACATGGAAACATTCGCAGAGACATGGACACCATGACATTCTTCAGTCATGGTTTAAAATGAAATGAGAGTGAATTATTGATCACGGAACACAATCAGCGCTGTGTGGGGTAATGTTAGAAGACGGTCTCTCTGAGACAGGAAGTGAACGAAGTAAAGCAGAGATACAGTTGGTGTTTACCACGCTCTTGGTAAACATTATGTGGAATTATGAAAATATTTTCACACATGGCTTTTGGTGTGAGTTTTTGGTGATTCAGTTTAATAAATAACTGACAGTTGGGTTTAAAGAACTTTGTCTTTAGTCAATTTCTCAAATAAAATATGTGAAAAGTTGATGCTGCAGTAAATCAGGATGTAAACTGACGACAAAGACAAACAGGAAATGAACACTCAAGTTGATAACTGTGACAATCCACTCCTGCCACAATATTTACATTTTAGACAAATAATAAATTGGAAATTTTAACTTAACTTAAATTATGTCACCATTTAGATTATCCAAAAAAAAAAAAAAAATGGCAGCTATGTTTGTGATGCCCCCTGCAGGAGATGAAATCAGTGAGTTTGATTTAATTTGTCTTTAGGGCGGTGGTTCCCAACACAGGTTACATTTGAAGCTCACTGGTAGTAGGGAGGGACTGTTTTTTTTTTTTTTTTTTTTCTGCGATGAAGGGACGACAACTGTAATACACACATCTGTATCCTTACACTGGGACAGGAGGGCAGGAGGGCAGGAGGGAGGGGGTAATGTTTGACCTTTGACATAGGTTGGGTCAGAAGGTGCTCACCTGCTGAAGTTGAATAGGAGTCTTTCAAACACCAGCACCGGGCCTGTGCTGCTGAGAATCGTCAGCGGTTGTCCAGCCAGCAGACAGTACACTGCTCCCGTCAGCGCCGTGCCCAGAAAACTTTCCAACACTCCCTGCAACACACACACGCACACACACACACACACAAATTACCACACATGAAGCTCTAACGTAGCTTATTATCAGCGATTAGTCTCACATTAGTCCAGCCGTGAGTGTAACTGTTTAGACAACAACTGTTTAGGTGTGAAAACGTCAGTGACATAATTCCGCTTGCTCAGCTGGAATCATTGCTTTGACCACACACACACACACACATCACACACAGCTGTATTTCTGGCTCGTCAGGAAAGTCCTGTTTACTTTCAGCACATCTTTTTTTATTTTTTTTCCCGTAAAGGGCACTCGGTGCAAAGGGATAAAGAGGTGTGACATATTCAGCTGCACTTCAGTGTTTTGGAGTGATGAATTCCAGCAGCTGCTCTGCTGGAATTCAGTCACATTGGCTGCAGAGAAGCTGAATGAACACGACTTCTGGACAACAGCGTTAAGCCAACGCAGCAGGAAGAACAAGCGTCTGACAGGACAGGTTTCCTTGTTAGCAGGGACAGAACAGATGGACCAATGAGCTGCTCAGCTGCTAATAAGCTTATCAGCTCAGGTGGAATCTCTGTGTTTCTGTTAACACGCCAGTTCAAACTGACCTGTAATTAAGGTCAAATAAATAAAAACTTCAAAATAAAAACACACAATGACATAATTAAGCCTAGATTAAAACATACTGAGTATGGAGGGGAAACTTTATAACCAGTGCCACAAATAATCTGCTATTATATCTGGATTATGACAAACTGTCAGCAACTGAACACAACAAACATTTACTTCATATAAAAAGCTTATTTAAATTTACCTTCCTTATTTAATGATTATCTTTCAAAATAATATATCTTTTAGATTTCAATACCAACAGAATAAAAGGTAAAAGATGTTTTGAAATTTTGATCTTTCAACAATCGGTTCTCTACTGGTCTGTGATACAGGTCAGTACTGGCCAACCGGTGCCTCCATTTTTAAAAAATTTTATTAAATTGTTTATCACAATATTTTGTGTGTGTCCCTCTTGGCAGTGTATTCGGGCCGATCTAAATCAAACCTGAGTTGAATAATTCTGGATGAGGTGCAGTTGGTTAGGAGGTCAGATTCAGTTCAGTGTATTGGGGGGGGGGGCTTGATCAGTTACTGTACCTGCATGTTCTCCGTAGCATCTCCCAGTAAGCCTCCGAACGTGATGGCGTTGGTGACCGTGCCCAGGTAGATGAACAGGATTGCTGACAGAGACTGAATGTGCGGAGGGTCGTGGAAGTCACTGGCAAAGAATGGCAGCTTGCGCTTCACATCCAGGACGAGACCGCCACAGAACCTTTGGGACAAAGGAGGGAAGGGTGGTGAGGGCAGGGGCAACATTTGTCATGTCAGAACCTGTGTACTTTAGCTCCATAGGTGACACACGTCAAAAGAAGGTGGTGAGGACTGTGTTTCTCACAGTGAAACATTGTTTTAACTAGAGGAAGAGAAAAGGGCTGAACAACAGTGAATCGTTTCCTTTGTTCTCCATTTACAGTATGTGTCAAACATTTCCCCAGTGGAAAGTTGCCAGGAGGAAGTGGAGTTCATGACAAAAACATTTTCACTAAATAGTATTTCACTATTCCTGGCACTCCTCCATCAATAACAAGCTGTCAGGAACTGAAGCTCCTTATCTGCACGGACACGTGCCGTGAACGAGGGAGAGGCGTAATTTTATGTACATAGATACAGTACACAGATATAATATTCAAGGGTACTCCATATTACTTTCTGGTACGCTGAAGTTCCTCCCCGACTTGGTGGCCGCCTCCTCCTCCCTGACCGGCATCGTGGGGGGTGTCACCGTTCATCTGAGGCGTCTCTGATCCAGTGTACATGTTCTTCCTTCAAACAATCGCAGGACAGTTTAGATCAATACAACTGTAAAACAGAATTAGACTAAAGATACGTTAATAATATTAGCTACACACCTTCTGTGACAACTTGTCTATTAGGAAGCAGAAGACAGAGTTTCTTTCTTTTTTAGTTCAAAAGCTCGGCTCACTTTCTGTTCAGTTGTCACCATTTTATATGTTGATTCTATGGTTTTATTACAACGTGGTGTCATGTGACGACAGTGTCCGTTTGAAGACGTACGGTCAATACAGAATTTAGTTCTAAATAACCTTTAGTTAATGAGAAGAAAATAATACTGGAGTCAACGTTTGGCCCACGGAGCTGCCAAAGTATCAGCAACAGTACTTAGTATCGTACGTGTACAAGTTTAGAGAAGATCGTATCGCCTGGTTCTCACTAGTGTTGCCTTCTATAAGGTTAAGGTTCATTAATGGATTAGCCCAAACCTCTTCTCTGAAGATGGCAAAGATTTGGGTGGCTCTATTCTGATGTTAGGATCCCACTCGCCAGGGGGCAGCACGATGACCTCATCCAGGAACTCGTCGATTCCAGCCAGTAAGTCCTGCCTGTCCTTGGCTTTGTAGGCAATGTCATGGAACACCTGCCAACATACAAACATAACTGGCCTATTAGCAATCAGCTGATCAATAATGTAGCACTCTCTGAATAATTCATCTGGGGCTTTGGAGCAAATACACAAAATGTGAACACAGGCCCTCAGAACACCCAGTGGTCTCTGTACGCTGGGACACGGAAACAACCAGCAGCGCGTAAATGAAACACCACAGAGTCAATAATCTCAGAGTAAAAGGACCAGGATGTAGATGTTCTGAAGGGATCTTTACTAAATAGTCTCCAAAGAAAAAATCCATTACATTTTGTTATGTAAACTATTCATGTGTATTTTTGTGTCAGGGAAGAAGGTGATGACTCACAAAGGTAAACATCTGATAAACCTGTGACATTACTTCAACTTGAGAGCAGAGACAGTAAAGTTATGTCGAAAAAAACAAAAAAAAAACAGAAATTCAGAAACCACTTCCTGTGCTGCTGTGTTGACAAACCAGAGACACTAGGATCTGCTCTGTGACGCCTCCAGTAAAGGAGCTGCTGAGAGGAAGTCTAGCTACAGTCAGACAGGGTGTCAAATCAGCAATACAGCTCCCCTTGAAGGGCCGGAAGGTGTGCAGCAGAAAGTCGAGACTAGTCTAGAATCAACACTTCAGACAAAAATGTATATTAAAATAAAGTTTACTGAAAATAAATTCTCAAATTGATGTTTAATCTTTTAATGTTAGCACAGAACTAAAGAGTTTGGATTGAGTGACTTCACTAACACTAAAACGTGTGCTAATGTCGGTGCTTATTATTAGCTCTTAGCTTAAATACACAAAGATCTCATGTCATCTAATCTTTTGAACTTGTATGACTCCGTGTTTTACTTGTTGCATTTAAGTTGAGTTTTTTTGTAAAAAAACAAAACAAAAAAAGACAGTTCAGTATTTCAGAAGTCAGAGGTCAGAGGTGATTAAAGTCAAACAGTGTTTGTTGTTAGACAAGTGGCCGTGTTTTTAATTTTTTTTATTATTATATATAGATTATTATTATATTATAAATCATATTATATATGAATTATAATAATTTAACAATTATTTTGACTGCTCTATCTAAAGTCAGGAATAACAGATTAACTGGTCAAAAATTGTTTTTAAAATTTAGTAAAGTAACACAACAAGGTGCCTTAAGCCAAAATCTAATGTGGGCCAGAGCAGATGGCTACAGCCTCAGGGTTGCCAGATCTGCATGGTGGCCCCAGAACTCCCATTAAACCTGAAGTAAATACATCTCATGTTAAAAAAAAAGATTGAGAATTCTAAATAAAATTTACATGAAAACAATATTAGGTAAGAAAAGTGATAACGTACCTCATCTGACATGAGGGTGGCGATGGCTCTTCCAATCTCATGATACGACTTCGCTTTCCCTTTGGGGCCCAGAAGCACAAAGAGAAATCTGAGAACGAGAAAATAAATGTTAGCATCCACTGAGTGACTGCGTCGGCGCGGCTGAGCCTGACATCAGCAGGAGGACGTGTGACAACTCTGCAGCTGATGGTGCTGTACCTCGTGGGCACGGGGACCTCAGTCAGGGCCCCGAGCATGACGGCTTTGTGCAGCCGGACAAATGCAACAAAGGGAGCGTCCAGGAAATCCACCTCTCCAACGAGCACGTTTGACGCCTCTGCATCGCGTGGCAGTTTTTTCATGAACTTATTCTTCAGCTGTGGAGACGAGTGAGTGTAAAACAGTTAAGAGGAGAAAGAAGATCAAATGCTTGGACAAAACTGATGCAGTACATGTTAAGATGGAACCTCTGGCTCTCCTATGTCACTTACAATCATTGTCACATGACATTTGAAATAAAAGTGGCAATTAAAATGTGTCTGTACCGAGGCGTGGTGCTTTTATTGTGTCTACAAGTACAGGTAGTGCCCTGCCTTTCCTGCAATTATTCACTGAACTGCAGCTCAACTTATACCACCCAAAAAACATACTTCAGTGCAGGTCATGAGCCTGATCTGTAACATCAGTCAAGAGAACGGCACTTGTAGCTGCAGGCTAATGCTACAACCAGTCAAAGTGAAATGACCAAAAGCTCACTTAAAATCTAGGGTGTCAAACTCATTTTGACATTTGTTATTAAGTACAAATATATCAGATAAATCTTCATATTTAATAAAATTAAATTTGTAAAGTTTTTGTGTATTTTTTCTATTTTCAAAATTCATTAAGCGGGCCAGTTTTGGGCCACGGGCTCTATGTTTGACAACCCTGCTTTAAAGGAATGAGTACGGCCTCAGGTTGATGTTAAAGGGCAGACAGTCTTGTGTTTCTGCAACATAAATCACATCCTATGATTCCTGTCCTTTCTGTCGACCACACGCTTCATTTACCCAGCTGTGATTCACACAGAGAAACTGCATGTGCCCAGTTACGACTCGTGTGACCGAGACTTGAAACAGTGAGCTTTTGTTGTGTGAGACGGCACCACAGAGCCGCTGCTCTTATCTGTCGGTATGCGAAACCTCGCAGGCTCATGCGTACACACGGGCCAACACATGACCTTGCACAGAACAGCTTTGTGAACGGAAGCGTCAGTGATCACATATCAGACCAACTTTCGCTTCAGCCAACGCAGAGAGACATGAAAACATTACCTGATCCTTCTCGGGTTTGTCAGAGAAGTCACTCAGGCTGTTGGAGGTGAGGTTTCGATGGGCGGTTGACGGACTCCCTGCAGTAAGGTGAGAGGGGTAAGGATCAGTGAAGCCAAGCATGACTTTAAATGAAAAAATGTCTTCTCTAAAAGGAAGATTAAAAAAAGAAAGAAAGAAGAACTTGAAGAAAGCCAAAAGATTAAGGCTGAGCTGGAGGACATGGCATTCATCCCAGTCACATGATGGAAAATAAAAAGTAAGCGTCCGAATTAGTACATCTACCTGCTGTACCTACTTTGGGTCATAACATGCTGTGATAATCACTGCTACAATCAACGGTGGATTACATGAAAGGATTCTTAGTATTTAACATGTGTTAAAATATCAAATTCTGTCATTTTTATCTGTATTAATTTCACTGTAACAACCACGCCCTCTTTTCCATATCATTAATCGTTAACTTTAGAAGCGCTTTTGCACACGGCCGCAGTCATTTCCTGTGAACTATGTTAATGTTTATGTTTTTACAGATAAACACGGGTTAGCCAAAAAGCTCCAAGGCAAAATGAAAAAACAAAAAAAAAAAAAACAAACTTTAAAATAGCTCCAATTTAAGTCTTTACACTTTCAATCAAATGTCTTTCTTCTTTCACACCAGGTCACAACCTGTTTCCTCAACTCTTCTTCCTTTAACGTTTTCTTTCAGTGTTTGGCAGGAAAACAGTTAAAAACATCAGAAAGCTCGACACCTGACTCTGACATAAAGATAAAACTTGTCAAAGCTGTTGGAGACACTAATGAGGCGTGTCCAAAACTGTTTCTGTTATTAAAATCTGTCATCTGTCTTTGAAGGTTTTGACCTTCCTTAATAAGGAAATGAAATAAAGAATATAAATAAGACTATTGATGATGTCATCTCCTGCGTTAATGAAAGTCTGCGACATAAGGTCCCAGAAGGAAGGAGTTACATTTTCTAAATTTAAATTAAACTTTTTTTCCCCCCCAATGGGTAGTAAAGTTGGCTTACATCCAGAGGGTTGTGGGTTCCATTTTTATACAAATCAGAATATATATTAATTAGAAATGTCTATCAATAACATCACATCCTCAATGAAACTCTTATATTTCCTTTTGCTCTACAGCAGCCGTTCATTTTAAGGCCTGACTCTCCGTGCTGTGACCTCACTCACAGAGGTGTCCCATGCTGGAGCTCCTCATGGCTTCACAGAGTTCCTCTGAGTCGTGTGGGTTTAAATAGGACACAGGGTGCTCTGGGGGGATGCGTGCTTTGGCAGCCCAGATAGAAGAAACCAGAGGCAGCACAGACCCACAGAGAAGGAAGGAAGGAAGGGAAAAAAAGGAGAAAATTAAACAGAAAAAGAGCATAAACTGAGAAAAGACGAGGAAGAAAAGTCAGAAGAGGCCAGTGAGTGTTTGAAGAGTGGAGTTGAGATGGATTAGGGTTTCATCTTCTCATTACCATTCTCCGGGTAAGAAAAGAGTTTGCTTGCGCTGGAAACGCTTTTGCCAATGTCTGCCAGGGAACGCAAGTTGGATTTCTTGGTCTGATGGCGATGCTTCCTCAGCAGGGTGTAGGTCAGCTTCTCCTTCTGCTCTGCCTTCAGCTGACCCGACTCAAGGTGCCTGTCAGTGATCATCTCTGTCCAGAGGGACGGGTCAGAAACAACAACACAACCTCAGCGACCGTGCACGTGTTCTTAGGCTTTCGGAAAAACGGCATCACAAACCACGCTTACCGACGACCTGCGGCAGAGTGGACGCCTCCAGGTCCAGCATGATGGTTCCCTTCTCGATGCAGGCTTTGAGTTCCATCAGACTGTGCAAGGACAGCGTGGCCACGTGAGGCTTACTCCAGCGCTCACCTCCTTTCTCCACCTTCTCCTCAAACTTGATCCACCTGGGGAGAGAAGGAAAGGCATTTTCTGTACCGACCTTGAGGGGCAGCATTGAGCTGGGTTCAACCAAACGTAAAATCTCCCTATGAGGGTGTATGTGGGTATTATTATACAGGCGTCTTGAAGGTCACTGCGTAGTATAAATATGTGTACTTGACAATGGCTTCATATGTTTAAGAACAAATAAGGGCCGCTACCAAAAGACAGATGAAATGGTTTCTGTCTTTACTGAAACAGCGTTTGTGTTTGAAGTGGTCACAGTTCAAGGAAGGATACGGGAAGCAGAGTGGCATAGACAGACGACAGTGGAGTCTCTTCACCACAGGTGGAAAAGTGTGCAGCTAAACAGCAGATGATGAATGCAATTTTCAAAGAAAAAAATAAATACAGTATATATAAGAAATATATTTACAGGGTTGTGGAAACCGTTATGAGCTCAAACTTTAGTTTTTAAAGTGCCTGGTCAACAAATGTACACTGTATGTGAACTGTACACTTTCAATACTAGATACCTTAAAGTGAAATAAAACTGAATTTCTCTAAAGATTCAGCGCAGTAATTAGATGCTGGTTTGTTGGACTTGGACTCAGATCAGGTGGACGCCCTGGTCTTTTGTTTGACTCAGATCAGGTGGACGCCCTGGTCTAGACCTTTAGAAAATACAAGACATTCTAGAATATCACCTGTCCTGCACAGGTTTCAGGTCAGAGCCGTGTTGGTGCTGCAGAAACTCTAATCTCACAGTTAAGACAGAGGAGAAGGATTCTTTTTTTTAATAATAAAGCCTCTTATGGTGCTAACACAAAGAGCCATTCTCTGCAGGCCTCAGGATGGGCTTTACTCTGGGGATAGAGTGTCCCTCTGGCCATGGTCCACAGGCCTGTGACCAGCCGTCTTAGTGTGTGTGTGTGTGTGGGGGGGAGTTGGTTTACCTTTTTATTTGTCCAAGTATTTCTGCTCTAGAACTGATTTTAAAATGCAGGTTGTTGTAAAGACGTGGTAGCCTGCGTGCTTTGACTCTGACCTCCTCTGAGGAAAGGACTTGTTTTTGTGTCTGCCTGTGTGTGTGTGTGTGTGTGTGTGTGTGTGTGTGTGTTCTCAATCATTCCTCTGTCTGTCTCACAATTAACTGACTGTCTATAAAAGTATGGTAGAGGTAAACAATAATTTTCTGGAGAAATATCTCCTTAGTTCCCGGGAAGGAATTTCTTTTCCGGATCAATACAGCGATTCACAGAAAGATGAATCCTCTGAAGTTAATGCCACCTTTGATCACAACCTTTCTTGACCCGACGCAGATCAGACATAAAGACACGGTGGTCACGTTTACAGTCTGTATTTAACTGCAGCCTGTGCACGGTGCACTACAAGGTAATTCATCACTCATTGCCCACAATGCAACTCAACTGCCAACAGTTTAGTAGGAGTTTTAAATATGCTTTGCCAACAGCACGGACACGGAGAAACCAACATACTTTTAAAGCACCATAAAAATGAGTCATTTTACTTGAGTGAGCTTCACTCCCACTCTCAACAAACATCACCACAGGCAGGTCAGACCATATCTTACACAGCTCTGCCTCAGGCAGCTACAAAAAAAAAAAAAACGCTCTATGTCCTTTACCTTAAACGAGGATCTGGTGGACAAATGATGTAAAAAGACAGAGTTACATTTTTACTTCTGGGATTCAACAGGACGTCCAGATTACTGTAATACTGGTATTCCTATGATTATTATGGGCAACAGTGGCGCAATGGTAGGACCCCTGCCTGCCACCAGGAGGCTGCAGGTCAGATTCTAGCCTAGGTTAAAACCTAGTTTGGTACAGAGACATGATAGGTGAGGCGGGACAAACAGTAGGAAATGTGATGATGTCACAACTGCACTTTTTTTCTCTTTTTGAACTTTGTGTTGTTTGATGTTATTGATTTGGATTCATTAGAGATAACAACAAGTTTCATTTATAATTTGTGGAAATTGTATTTGGGTGGATGGGGAGGTGAAGTGTGGCTTGATCAACCACTTGTTTAAAGTGGAAAAAGACCGAGAAACGTTTGAGAACCACTGTGTTAAAGAGGGATTCATTAGTTGTATTATTATAATACTGCAATACTGTTACTATTACTACAGTATTATTTAGGTTTGTCTCTCTTTCGGCGATGCTAATTTAAACCTACATTTTAAATGTGATTTATCATGCAGTGCTGCACAGGAAGTCAAATTGGCCCAGGAAGTCAGATCAGTGTGAGTGATGTATGAAAACAATGTGAGTGACTGTGAACAAGTTCAGCTCAGAAGCTCCAGTGACTCGCCTCTCGACTCGTGAGTCAACTGTAACTGTTACTGTTACGTGTTTACTGTAACCTCAGTTTTTGCGGTAGCCACAGAGTTTGTCCTTTGTCCCAGCAGCACAGGGCAGCTACCGCTCTGAGATCTTAGATAAGACTGGGAGTTCACTGCAGCACCGCCTGTTTCCCTTCACACACTTATGTGATTGTTCACGAGTGGATTGTGTTGCACAGAAAATGGGAGGCAGGACAACTTGACGAAAACTGTCAAAAAAAAAAAAGTGAAAAAAACAAACGTGTCTCCAACCTGGCCGTCTCCTTCCACTCCATCTCCTGCCCGTCCACAGACAGCAGCTCGTCCAGCTCCGTGAAGAGTTGTGGGGGTGGCGGACCATCGTCCTCCTCTCCCAGCATAAACTTGATCCTGTCAGCTGTAGAAACTGGGGACATAACCATATAATAATGTATTAGGATACAACACATCTGCCTTGTCCACCTTTAACAGACATCATGTACAGCTACAACTTGTCAGCTAATGAAAAACGTAGAGCTGATGAAGATTTCTATCCATTTTGATCCAAATCTGATAAGGGGTTAATCAGGGTGTCAAACTCATTTTGGTTCATGAGCTGCATATAATATGGGCCGGTATTGGCCCAAGGGCCACATGTTTGACACCCCTGACATAAATAGTGATGAAAAAACACAATGATGTACAACATGTACAAGTGTATGTACACACACGCGCACACACACTGTCCACATGATCAGGTTACCACTAATTAACTAGTGATAGAAACAGAGGCCCGTGTGTGTGTGAGGTACAACTGTTGAAGCTGCAGAGAGGATCTACTTGTACTGGATATTTGTCTGTAAACCCAAGAGCCTGTTTGGGACAAACCGACAACTTTACACGTTTGTTTTGGCCATAATCATCTACAAAGGGTGTAAAAACAGACCCCACATACAGTATGACTGATGTGTGTTTAATATATGAACCCATGACGTACTGCATGTGCTGGTAGTCGGGCAGGATGGTCCCATTATAACGGACAAGGAAAAACCTTTCTGAAAACACTGCACTTTTACTTCCTCCTCGGTTCGTTTGCTGACATGACAGCTTTGATGACCGTCAGTCAACGTTCGCCTTCCTCTTATGTGGCTTTGTAGAATTCCCCGCGTTTACAAAAAGCACTGATCCAGACACAGTCACTGAACGATAGGGAGAGCCTCAGAGCTAACGAACCACATATAAGTAACTGGTTGGGAATGCATTATAAATTAATCTGACTTCCTCTCTACAGCCACAGGATGGCCATTTATCCTTGCTTTAACACATGGGTGCGTGATTTACACAAACTGCTGGGAAAAGGTTTTCGAGAACCTTTTTAGTTTTAATTATTATCTAAAGGCCCAGCATGCATTTGTGGAGGTTTCATCTTCTGATCGCATCAGACCAGCTGCACTGAGAGCAAGGCAGTAACTAAGTCTACGGTTGAAAGCTGACATCGTTGTGTTATCTGTCATTCTGTTCGAGTAAAAAAAGTAAAAAATATATTTATAAAAATAGTTAGGTCCCAATCATGATTTAATCATTATTCAGACATTTTAATGCTTGACAGCCCCATTTTGTTACCAGGGTTGTGCGACGGTGAGATAACAGCGAGGTTAAGCAGCATACGACACGACGGGTTATTTCTGCAGCTTTCTCTCCATCAACTGCCGACGTCAGGTCAGTGCCTGAGCTACGTAACAGCCTGTGTAACCCTTTAATCCAGACAGAGCACCTGAGCTTTATTTAGAGAGCTTGTCTTTAAAAATAGTGTAGCTCAAACTGCTCTGCTGTCACCAGAAAAATTAGCACAACTGCTTAGCAGAAGCAAAAGTTTAACATCAATGCCCTGGAGAAAAGAAGAATCTGCATCACAGACGTCACGCGGTCTATTTATAGAGCAATGAGCCGTGTATGGGCTATAGAACAATACAAACAGGGAGTCTTTACCAGCTGACCTCTCTGTTATTGGTCACTTTTAGTTTGTGATTCATTTGCAAAATCTGAATTTTGGCAACAACTGCTGACGCCATAATGTGCAGCAAACAATCCCTTCTTAAGGCGAACGGGAAGTGTTATCAATGAAAACCAAGCTTCTGTTGTGGTTGTACATAAACGTACGTGGGCAGTGACACAGCGTTCGACTGAATCAAAAGGATTACGGATATATGAAAGAAAAAGAAAGAAAGAAGAAAAAAAACCCAAACAAGGAAAGAGACCAAGGAATACAGGCCTGTATTTTGGGTGCCAGTTTTTGATGTCAAGTGCACGCAAGTCGGCAGTATCGTCAGGAAAAGTCCAATATCCAGAGTTAAGGAATTCCATAAAGGGAGTCAGGGGATTTCGAGACATATTGGAAGAGGAGGCAGCAGCATGTTCTCTTATTAAAAAATAAAAGACATTTGCTTCAGGCCGACGGCTCACAGGAAGGGAAGTGTCTGTCTCAGTCTGCTCCAGTTTCACAGACAGGAGCCTCTCTGTAAACCTCCTTAACATGGAGCTCACAGCCTACACACAGACACTCTGGGATGTTTTTCCAACAGGTCAATGCATGCAGGTTCCTTATTTATTGGTCGAATCAATCATCTGGATCAATGTGACATTTTCATCTCTATGCAGATGACAAAGTCATTTACTGCAGAAAGCCTTTGTTGCTGCCCAGCACACCAGACTTTGTCAATCTCAATCAACAATTTGCTCCATTTACAAACTGCAAAAGGAGAAGTTTATGAAGATGCTGAAGTTCAAGCTGGTTGTTGCTGCTACTTTTTTTTGCTAGAGATAGATAACAGAGAATGAGGTGAGAGTCAATAGTAAAGGCCAGTTGTCCTTTTAGGAAACAACACTGTTGTTATTCCACATGTTATTAATGCTAAAGGTAGTGCCTAAGGGTTAAAAGGTCGTGTAGATGAAGAAATAATTTCCCACCTTGGTTTTCGTGATGGTACATAACTTTTGACTCACTACATTTTTTGCCCATGATTGGATGTAAACAGTGAAATGCCTCATTTATTTGCTGTAATCTTTGACTCACCCTTTCTTGACAAGTTTTTATTGCTTCCTTAATGTGCAGCCTTGGTAATAAAAGCTGTTACAACTGAATTCTTACTTCGCCTCTGGCCCCAGTGTTGCAGACATCCATCACTACATTTGCTGATGTTTAACTTATTGGAAAATATCCTGTCCATATTAAATATAATTTCCAAGTGCATTTCTGTATCACAGAATTATTTCAGACTGTTTCCCACCTGTGTCCACCAGTTTAATTCTAAATTCTAAAACTGAATTATTATTAAAATAGCTTAATGGGAAGTCAGACTGTTTTCCACCTGTGTCCACCAGTTTAAATCTAAATTCTAAAACTGGATTATTATTAAAATAGCTTAATGGGAAGTCCATTTTTACAAATATCCAAATGCAGTTTGACTTTTAAACTTCCATGAAGTCTACAATTGGTTCATTTCCATGGAATACCGTGTGGTGAAACCACTTTCTGGAATGACAAAGAAGCTTTAGTAAAATACATGAGTGGAGCAGTGACCGTGACAGGTTCTGGGGATCATTTAGAGAAGAGATTAATAAGAGCAAATCTTATCCTTGTCCTCACTCCTTATCTTATCAAGTACCCTCAGATGAATAAGAACGCCGGCTAGTTTTCACCTGAGGACAATGTGCAACATGGAGGATTACAGTGTCAGATGAATTAGCAGCATGAGAGAGACTAGTCCAGTGCTGATTTGCAAAGTGGACACGGTGAAGGCACAACGAGGTGGGTGCAGTGGGTAAATGAAATCAGTGAAGACCAAAATGTCCAAGAGTAAAAATGTTGTGTCTGGTTGAGTTTTTTTTTTGGTTTTTTTTGTTTTATGTTTTATTTTATCCAGTATTTATTTCAATTTTATTTATTATGTATTTTACTGTATACTTTTATATATGCTTGATATATATTTATTTGATGTATTTTTGTACTGTTCTTTTCATCGTTTCTTGTACCTTATGCCCCAGATCTTCCAGATTTGTATCAACAAACGCTGAGCTTACATTCAACACCAGGCTATTTTTCACACAAGAACGCCAGCTCCAAGCTTCAATAATTGGCGTTTGCTGTTCGTATGAGGAATGCGGTGGGAGAGAGGGAGATCAGACAGACGCACCACAGCAGCAGAATGTCCCAGGCATCTAGGTGAGGTGTAGCACATGAAGGAAAACCACCTAGAGCCGTGGCTGCACACCGAAAGCCACATTGAAGCCCATATCAGTACACAAACACGGCCCCTCCAAAATGACTCCAGTGGACTCCAGTGCTCATCTAAGAATAACAACTGGACTCCAGTGCTCATCTAAGAATAACCTTCCTTACCTCTTCAACGACTGATTCATGACATCGTGTCACCGTTAAAGTCACTCTGCCGTTAAACTCTGAAAAAGGTATTCAATAACGTCTCATTTGAATGTTTTTGTATTAAATAATTCTAACTTCAATTAAACAATTACAGAGTATTTTTGTCTTCTTAGAAGAGAAACCAATTCCTCTAAAAGGAGGAGCTGCATTTGTGTTGGCAGTTTTATTAAATTAGATTACTAAATCTTTTCCATCTCCACCCATACTCCCTAACTTTATCTCCAAACTGCTCCACCTTAACTCCATCATAGCAGGTCTCACTACTGCTGCTGTTGTTACACTTCTGTCATGAAACACGTCTCCATCCACTGCACTCACAGAGCACGGTCTGACAGGGAGAAGCTGAAGGTGAAGCCTCCAGAAACACATGAAAACACTTCCCAGCAGTGTGTATAAATACAATTTGTACAGACTGTATAACGGACAGACAAATCAACACGGAGCGCAGCCCGGGATCAAACTCCTGACATTTTGGTTTTTAACGATGGCCTAAACAACCTTACGAGGCACAGACAATTAAGTATTTTAAGAGTTAAGAGTTGTTTTTTGTTCAACCTGGATAACGACAGAAAAGAGAGTTGTTTTTGTTCAACCTGGATAACGACAGAAAGAACAACATTCTCCCACCTTTTTTCCGATACTTGTGAAGCCACATGCGGAACATTAAGCTTTCGTCATTTTCAGTATGATAGGTTCTCCGATGCATTTTTGAATCTCTGTTGATCTACCCTGCAGTTAAGGGGAGTTCGTAACTGGGTCTGAGGTTGTTTATATTTACGCAGCGCCTAGTGTGGTTTAGCAAGTTTACTCTTTCTGCATATACTTTACATCGAAACCAAAATACATTTAGTCATCGCTAAAGATACCTCCCGAGCTTTTGAGCCTGTGTTTGAAGGATCTGCTTTGTCTACTACTGTACTATACTATTCTTTACCAGGCTAAATGAATGTTGTGGTAAACACATGTACTCAGAGTGGGGAGGAATACTCACACGCTCTCTCCAGACTATTTTAATACCATAATGTTCACCTGCAGTACACACTGGTAAAGGCCTAAATTAAACTGTAAACCTCCCATTGTGCCAATTTGCTAACTCTGACATTTTAGGTGGATTCCACCACAGGGGTATTTTCAGGTTTTAACGGACTGTGATGTTACACCGTTGAATACACAAATAAACATCCAATGGCAGAGACATGAAGCACCCTGCACAACAAATGCCTCATACGGTGAAAACTGATACTGAAGCAGTGCTTCTCAAAGTGTGGGGCGGGACCCACTGGTAAGGGATGTGGACATGACAGGTGGAGCAGGAAATATTCACGGTTGACTGTTTGTGATGTGATGATGGGAACTTTTTGAACTTTGTGTTATTTGATGTTACTGTGTTTGATTCATTATAAAATAAGTTAGTTTATTACATTTGAAATGTCATTTGTCAAGAACCACTGGACTAGAGGCTGATTGCAGCCTGCACAGCACACACATATGGACATATGGCCTCAGCTGACCTATATCTAAAGACTCCTCTGGAGTCGTAATGCCTCCGCTCTGGAAAATCATCTTAGGATTAATGCTTTTGCCATACATTTTTCCTAAGCTTCAGTACAAGGAAGGACATCTGGTGGGGGTTTTTCTGTAGCAGGAAGAAAAACTAGGAACAATGTCAATGTTCACATCTGTATCCAATTTGTGCAGCAAATCTACCAAACTTGACTACAAACTGTAGTCAAGTTATCTACAAACTGACTTTTTTTATTATTATTATTATTTCCACATTGCTGCACTGAAAATGTAATTAATTGTCGACAACTGTTTATTCCTCCCTCTGCAGCGACGACAACTGTTTATTCCTCCCTCTGCAGGTTTTTAGCTGGTGAGAAATACTGTATTTCCCTCAAAGTACCTTTCCACATCTGTTAAGGTGACAGTTAATACCCCTCCTGTGTTTACTTCACACACTCCAAACCCAAACCAGTGTCATTTTCAGATTAGCGTTCAACCTGTTTCCATTCATTTGCTCCATCAAATCTCTGGAGTCTGGTGGAGGTTTCTTCCTGATCATTTCTCTTGTCACGCTACACACAGGCCTCCCTGCTCCATTTGACAGACCGCCTTCCTCACTACGGAAGCTCTTGTATATGTGTATCCTGCAGCCTGCAGCTTGTGATTCAAGTGCTGCTGGACCTGAACCCACATCTCAAGAGAGATTGATATGTTAATAATGGAGCTTTTTTTTTTTTTTTTTTAAATCAGCTACATGATTTGTTACCCCAACTACAACTGTACAATTTGAAAATCAGGACTCACTGAGAGGCTTGAGGATGCTTGTAGAGACGTCATCTGTGGTCTCTCCATCCGACCTGTTTCCTTCCGCGTTCTGATCCACTCGCTCCCGCTTGTCCTTGTGACTCGACTTGCGCCTGTGTCTTCTGCGGCGGTGGTAACTCTTTGGAACATGCACTCCAATGTATACAGTGTGGTGACCTAGCGCAGGACACAGGCAATTGAGGTTGATAAGCACTCGAATAATAAGAAAACAAAAACACTAACTCCAGGATGACCCTTACGCCAAAGTTTATACAGGAAATGACTTAATCTTTCCAGGAAGTAATTACAGAAAAAACAACATGTTCCCGATTAAAACCGAGTGACCAGGTTATGTTAAAATAAGCAAAATATACTTTGTTTTTCACATATTTCAACATACAAATATACTGTATGTCTACTTCACCACACGTCACATATTTAATTTGTAATGCATAAGTGAAAATAATCTTTAGAAACAGCAATCGGAATTACGTGAAATATATATATAGAAATATATATGCAGACATATATACTTATATCATCTGTGCATATATAGTATTTATACACATATTTACATATACCAGTTACATATATGCGTGTGTTTTTGTAAAACTGATAAAAGCTGAATTCCTTAGCTAAACCATCAAATACGCATTAGTATTTCTTTGGAAATATTTATTTTAGATAATCTCTGCAGCATTTTGTGAACGCAGCTACTGGACTGAATAGAGTCAAACGTCTTGAAATGGGGCCCAATTTTTACTTGTGGTTTCTTTCCTTCACCGGTAAGTGTTACTTTGCGAAACATGTCACTGAGTCTAAGTGAAAGTAGGCGTCTCCAGGTGAATTCCTCTGTGGCCTCAACAGTGCACAGGGTTAGAACACTGTCACAGACACGTTTGACATGTATATGATTTGCAGCAAAGAGAGAAAAACAAAACTTCACACTAGAGTACGAGAAGGAAACGCGGTGAGGCACCTAGTGTTTCGTCACGTTGTCTGGAAAACAAAATGAGTCACAACATGCCAGAAGAATGCCTTTACCTTCTACTTCCTCTTCGTCACAGACGTGTTTGACGAAGGTTGCTCCTCTGTCCACGACCGCTTCATCCTCCACTCTACAAAACAGAAAAAAAATTAAAAATGAGGCCATGAATCTTATTTACAGTCCAACAGTCGTATTTAATATTAAATAAAAACAACCAGAGATGGCTGCCTGTCACTGACAGGAAGAGGAATTGTTTGTGGTGCAAAACAAACAATAGTAGCCTGCAGCAAAACAGGTGCATCAGACATATCTTCAAGATTTGTTTTTATTTATGGGTTACTGACACACACAGTAACCCTGAATCCTAACAGTGTCTTCAAGTACAGGCATCACTGTTTTATGTAAAGTCATTATGTAAAATGTTGTCCAGAAGAGATGTTGGAAACAAACTAGCTGTGTGCGTTCTCCACACATGTACTTCCATCATGTAAAAATGGTCACTTGATCCGCAGAGACTCGACCGTTGTAGTTGTTAAACCTAATTTCCAAACATGCTAAATGTGGCTCTTGGACAGATCAGCTTCCATCCAAGCCATTTAACCCAACAGACTGTAGGTCTACAGCCTTCAACAAAGACACTGATGCTAGCTAAGCTTGTTTCCTATGCTTCTTTTTAGTATTTCGTTAATCATAAGGAAAATTATCATCTTTTTTAGATAAATGAAATGGTCATTTCCACATCAGTAAACATCGTACTTCAAGGTCCTCTTGACCAGTCGTCCCTAAACCTTGGGTTGCCACAGGTTGATGACACTTGGATATAGGTCATGTGACACAAGAGTCAGAAATCACCAACATGATCCTAAGGACCAATTTAAAAAAGTGAATAAATGAACCGTAACAGTGAGATTGTTTTCGGTTGACTCCATTTTCCTCATCCCTGTTTAGACAGACACTCTAGATTTCTTTTCTCCGTTCACACAAATCTTATTTCTTAGACTTTTGGACGTCACTGGACTTTCAAGAACAGCCATCAAATCTGCAGCAGCTCGTGTACTTTAAAGTACTGTAGTAGGCTGGACTCCAACACTCGAACTTAGTTGTCTTGGCAAGGACCACATGAACACGCAACAGGTTTGAAACCACCCAAGATTTGTAATATTCTCTACAAAAACTCAGGGGATTCCAGAATATAGTAACCCCCTTGCTCCGCCTACGGGTCAGAACTTTATAAATCAAAAGTGTCTTGATTCTATTTCAACATTCAGACATAAATAATGAGAAACTTATTATTTGCAGCTATGCTCATAATGCAATTTTACGTCAAGTTATTGCAGATAAGATCCTAAACAGCCAACTCTATCATTACTTTAGCTACTAAATGACAGGAAGAAAATAAAATATTAATCCTGTGTCAAAGCTTTTATTTATAATCTCTAATTAAATCATCTTTAGCAGATGACGGCAACGCCAGTTCTTCAAGTTCACACACGTGACTTCAAGGTCCCGGCATTAGACGGCCTGACCTGGAGTTACACTTTAAGACTCCAGAGTTTTATCTTCGTATGCACAGGACACAGGAGAGATGTTGTAGCTGTTTTATCCATCTTACTTCACCAGAAAATTGCAAAAAATTGCAATGTGTTTAATGGGAATGTGTAGACAGGTTTAATCCCATCCTTATCAGGAACATTTCTGCTATAACAAACCAAGAGAGTGACACAGAAATCTAATGATTATCATGTGTGATCGACTGATGATGAAGAAACAAGAAGGTCTGCACACAAGGTCAAACCATTCCATCCAGAACATTCCATGGTGGGAGCGTGTCAGAGTCAAATTAGGAACTCATTTGTCCTGGCTAATCTGAGAGATCTGTTCATTTAAAAAAAAAATCGTTATCATACAAGAAAGCATAAATATTTAATTTAGAAGGAGAATGAAGGATGTTAACAAACATCCGCTACTTCCACTTGCTGCTCAATATTCCCCAAATGACGAGGACAGCTGCAGACATGAGTGGATGGAAGAGTGTACACAAACCCCTGAATAAACAAAGTCAGGAAGGATAAAACTTGTTGAGCTCCCAGCTCATCTCGACGTCCCCAGTGGAGACACTATCTGGTCATGGAGGAGATAAAGTGCCGCCCGTGATGCTGTTAGCGGCCATACTGCAACAGTGGCCACAGCTCGGAGATCGAATGAGTGATGAAGGGCGGCTGGGCAGAGCTCCAAAAATGTACAAGCTTTACCAAAGAGCTGATTAGGCTTCTTTTGTTGCCCACCGTTTGCTGCAATAACAGGGGTCACATGTACACACAGTGCTGAGGGGAAGGGTCAGTGCCGTCATTTAGCTACAGATTTTTTTTTTTGCACGGTCTGTGCAGCTGGCCTCGCACGTTATCTTTTAATTCTCCTACAGCACAGGACGTACGGAAAACAAGCAGTCGCTTTGAGCGATTGCTTTTGTCACAGTTTCCAACCTGTAAATCACAGTAATGGCCAGTGATAAGATATGAGACACAAAAATTGGGAAAAAATAAGTAGCTTTTTACTAGTTTTTTTTTTAACTTAAATACTGTGTAGACGTAGAACTCAACAATATTTAATACTTTGAAGATTTACCATCACAAAAGTTAAAAACTTTGAAGGTCCATAAGGGTAAATCCAAAACAATTTCAAAAGTAATGTAAACTGAACTGATTGAAAATACCTTATTTGTACTTTATTATTAATTTATAAGTACTCATTTGACTTCTCTCAGGCAGTGTTATCATTTAATCTTCATCTTTGTGGTGAACAGTGTGGTTTTTTTGTTTTGTTTTTTTAAATCAGGGTTTTTTCTGAAATCCGTTACATCAGGTTTGAAGAGGATCCATGAGATAATTTTTTTGTTTTTCAAAAACAAAGCATATGTGAAAAGAAATTATTTCAGTCGTTAGATGAGGCAGAGTAGCAGGTGTTTCGAATCAGAGGAAATGTGGTGCTTTGTCATCCTTATATATATCTATATCTATATCTATATATATATATATATATATATATATATCTATATCTATTTAAATTTGTTTTAGATCTTTTGGACTTGTCCTTATATGTGTATTACATATATGTGTATGGAAAGGTGATGAAAACGTTGATGAAAACACCAGCTAACTCGTGGCCACCCTGAAGGCGATGATGGGCTGGTGTTGCAGGTTTTACTGCCAACTGTAGACAAGACCATTGCCCCGTGGTAATAAATGCAGACATTGAACTGGTTTGTGAGATGGTACGCTGCAAAAAAAAAAATGGTTTAGATCAGAAAATTCAAAGCCACGTGCTCACGTAAAACCCTAACAGCTGGAGGAAAACCAGACATCAAATGTGTTACTTGTTTTTGAAAGCTCAAGACAGATATGATCCGGTGGGGTGAAGGATGTCAGGGTTTGTCTTGATCTATTTCATTTCCTGCTGTGACGTCCATTACCAGATTAATAAAAGAAAAAAGAAAATCAAAGGCAGAGGAGGGTCAGAGGAACGTGTTGCACAGGTCACACAACGGTCAACTACTCCAAGGTTCAGAGCTGAGATAAACCTATCTATGGGTGGAGGATCAGTGATCGGGTCTGTTCACCACATATGTTTGGGACCATCACCGTATGAAAGGCCGTGTACCAAGACTAGTTTACCAACATGGTCAAAAGTTAAAAAATGAACTTCTGGAGATCTGATAAATGCACTTGTCAGCCTGGTCTGAAGGAGCTGTAAACAGTTCAGATTAGATGACCTTGTATAAAGGAACATTTGAACCATTCCGATCTCTCTCGGGTAATAAAGATAATCCAGGCCTTCACTTTAGGCTCACCAAGATTAGACAAGAACAGAAAAAGCGTTTTCTGCTCAGGCCTTCAGATTGCAGGGTAAAACCTTCACATAAACAACATGAGTACAGTGAGTACAGAAGAGCCAACACTGTTTCAGACTGGTGCAGTGATGTTACAATGGTGATTTTCTTATCACAGCCCTGGTGTGTCAACTGAGCATCAAAACCTGAGTGTCAAAACCTGCATCGTTTACAAACTGCACCCAATCATTAAGTTAAATTTACATACGTGTGTATATATACATAGATACACACACATATATATATATATATATATATATAAATATAAATATATACTGGATTATAGGCCAATGAAATGCAAGTATAACACAACCTGCCACATACTCGTCAGGTTTTGTTTCTAAGGTAATGCCTAAATGTAATTAACCTGTCAGTCTTGGAACACTCAGGGAACTTCCTCTGGCCACACTAGACAGGATGAGGAAGAGAATGACATTTAATTGTGCATTGCATCATTTAGCAGCGCACAAAGGGTTATTCAGCATTTCCAATCAACATCCAGTGTAAGACTCATACAAAGAGGAGGGACGGCCATTTCCCCACAGCAAACTGGATTTCACAACCTGTCATATACCATGTAGAGTGCAGTGGAAACTCTAGGTAGGATGTCAATGTTGGTCTATTTAAATTTATAGTTAAAGTATTAGCATGTCAAAGCTAAGATAAATAGCAGGTAAACAGCCCAAAGGTTTGTCACACAAATGTTTTTTTCAAAACCCTAGTTCAAGCCACTTTGAAAACGTCTCCTGTCTCTGTAGAAATCCTGAATAAATCCTGGACTTGCTGACTCACCGACGTAAACCTGGCTAAGTCTACGCCTAATAAATTCCTATGGAGCGTATATTCCTGATCATTGTAAGAGCGGAGTTTTGAAATTCCAGGTGTGAAATTCCTCTCTCAAACATGATGTCATCACATTAAGAGGGAAATTTGAGAAAAATACCAATGAAAATGAAGTGGTAGGTGAATAAGATGAGACATAATCTGACATTCATGGTGGCTGTTTTGAGCCATTTTAAATTATGTGCTAACAAAGTGGAGATAAATACCACGGTTTAATGAAGACTTTTGTCACGTGGCACTTTCGGTCAATACATGGATTCTAAAGATGATTCATTACATCATCATCATCATCATCATCAACATCATCGCCAATACACCACAGCAAATATACGTATGACGCACTGTGACTAGTGTTTGGTACCAGCACAGTCTTCTAGTGGAACTTTGTCTCTGTCTTTGACTAATACATGGATCACTCCTGGTGTGAACTGGCTAAAGGCTAAATGAGATTCAAGCTACTTCATTAAGAGAGAATTGAAGTGATAAGAGAAAACAAAAGTGCTTGTTCAGCACTTTTTGAGTCCCGGAAAGTACACCCTGGACACCAGTCCATCACAGGGGGAAGAGGTGGGCATGGGTATGACACTCACCTTCATACCCATGGTCATTTAAGATTGTCCAATTAACTGTTTTGTATTTGAACAGTGGAAGAACACCATGGAAACTCCATAGAGAAATTGAACCACTAATCTTTTTCCTGTAAGGCAGAGGAAATAACCCCTCTTACACCATGTGGTCAACTCACTGCACATTTACTTATACCTAAATATTAATCAGTGTCGCTAAAAAAAAACCTAAATATTTTCCATATTTAAAATATATGATGGTGGGGGACTTGATAAAAAAAAATATATAATTTATGGAAATACACATGATTCTATAAATGTATCACTACTACAAAAAAAATCAGGCCATAACTGTCTGCTGTTTAAAAATGGTGGCAGATGTCATATATATATACACACATATATACACATACATATGCTGTCGTTGCGCAATAACCAGTGGGAGTGCAGGGTGACGTGTGCCGAGTGTGCACTTTCGGGGTGTCAGTTCAAAGACCATGTGGTCTGAGAAGCCTGGCTTCCACGCAGCGTTGACGCTCGGAAGATTCGAGTCTGTGTCTGACTAATTAAGAGTGACAGGTCTTTGGAAAATGGATTAGCAGCCATTCTCTGCCACCACGGCCGGGACAGTGACTAAGGTGATTCAAGGAGTTTCCCGGTGGGATTGTGGGGGGGTATAAAAACACTGAACACACGGACTGATCGAGCCCAGATGCATGAGTCACTTATTGACGCACAGACACATGGGGGTGGGGGGGAAATCCAACTCCAACAACTGTTGACTTTTAAACTCTAAAACTAAGAATGATTCTTACCTGCTTTGTTTTTATTCAGTTACTCCACCTGGCCAGGAAGTGGGACGTTTCAGTTCAAGCCTGTGCATAAACCGTGAAACTAGTGAAGACACCAGAAACTTACTTGTTTTTGTCGGAAGTCATGGTAGAAAACCTCTTCACAGGTGATCAGCGTGGGGCTCACGGGTCCTTCAGCTTCCTCCAAGAGACAAACGAGCCAAAGTGACGGCGGCTGTCGGCGTAAATAAGACCTTCACCACCTCCAACTGTTGAACTTCTCTACAGGATAAGTGTAACAAAGGAGGAGTCCAGGATTTTGGACCGAAACTTCTTCCCGGGCTTCACTGTCGACCCTCTACAGTTGGGACACTAACACACACACACAGAGTCCATCATCATAACAGCCTGGTCCTGGTCACACACAGTCTCGAAGAAACGACTATTTGTGTGTCCCGCTGGAAGCGTGCGCAGGGACTCAGGGAGCGCAGCGTGTCTTTCTCCATATTTAAAGTGCCATCCCTCCTCCTGAGTGACGACACCGAGGAGAGAGGAGGAGGCAGAGGAGGCGGAGGAGGAGTTGGGGGAGGCAAAGGGCGCAGGAGGTGAGGTAACACTCTAAGTAGTCGACTTTGCTGCCTCCAGTTTGTATCCCTAACAGGTACTTTTTTTTTTTTACTTCTTTTGTTTGAGTTTGCTTGTGCAGGAAGTTCTATTGTGATTTAAAATCTCCTTTACAAGAAAAACCTGCCCAAGTCAGTCAATCAAAAACATACAATTAAACTCTTAAACTTATATAAGAAACAGATTCTAAAACATCGTGGCCTCTAAAAAAAACCCATGTCCCTGTAACCACATTTGTATGATGTCATTAAATGTAGTAATTGACATATATATTAGTAATAGAAAATATATATATTATTTTCTCTTCCAAGCATAAGTAAAAGCCAAAAACATTTTGTAAAATAGAATATATATTATTTTCTCTTCCAACCATAAGTAAAAGCCAAAAACATTTTGTATAAGCATATAATTACAAAGATGTGTGTATGTACATACATATGTACAGTATATATATATAAACATATTTATACACCAGTATAAAATACATATATGCATATATATGTATGAATACATACATACATATACATATAAATGTTACACACACATTATAGGTTGCTCTATGTCACTTTTTATGCTTTACTTTGAAATACTTAACTACTACCAATCATTATCACCACCAATGTCTCTTACACTATATATTTCTATGCTATGCTGTTAAGACAAGCTTACTTTGGAAAAAAACAAAACAAAGCCTTGGCAATTAAAACCCAAATACCTGCTAATTATAGTGAAAATGTACTCTGATGACTGACACACACATATATTATGACTATCACTGAACCAGAAAGTTGTACAATTAATTTTACAGTTCTGGTTTTTATGATAACTCCATGGAGTTTCGTCCTAAGTTTCGTCGTTGTGGTGCACTGAAGAGCTCATCGGCTCCACCTGCTTGTGCATTCTGTTCTTTGGTCAGTAATTATAAAGGCGTTAAAAGTTTAATCCCATTGAAGGTACCTGGTAAAGCTGAGCAGTCCAGAATAGTAAAGAGAAGCACCTTCCGTGGACATTACTGACACCTGCTGGGCAGTCTTGTGAAGCCGAAGCCTTACGGGAGTTGTCACCGCTCACATCAGTGAGGTGCATAAGGAAAGAGCAGCTCAAAATAGTGTCAACCAGAACAAGTTTATTCTCAGGAGTTTTGATAATGTACATAAATAGTCATTTGCACACAATAGCATTAATACAAAAATACATATTATTAAAAAAACAACTTTAAAATGAATATAAACAAGGTTGTTTGTAGTAAAAACAAACAAACAAAAAATGAGAATGAAAATCCCATTCTAGCCACGTCAGCATTTAGGGGCCGTTGTCGTACAGTCTGCGCGGTCCTAGCTCTATAGCGTGCTGAGGAACTCTTTCACCTGGAACAGAACAACAACCACCAGACTTTTAGTGTTTCCACTTACAACTAACATCAAACACTGTGATGTTTGAGTCTTGTATTTTACCGTCATCCCTTGTTACAATAAGACACGCTCTGCTTATGTCAACTGTGAAAAAGTTCAAGGTTCTTGGTAATGACATTTGAATGGTGGTGGAGGTTTAGCATTAACTTGAAACTGCTTCCCTAACAGATTCCATTGCCTCATTTACATACCTGAAACCTGTGCTTTTCAGTGCGAGCTTGTGTTAGTATCAGGAAGACGACACTTACAAGCTAAAAATCAACAGCTAACTGATACAGTGACTTCACTGATACAGAAACAGAGAAGGCAAAGCAGGAAAATTGTATCCATCTTCCCCTCATTACATTCATCAATGCATTCCAGTTAATGGCTGGGATTTATTAAATAGTTAGTCAAAATGCCAAATACATGTAATATACATATAATACATTTACTTATAAGGATTGGATGTTATGTCAACCCTTGCTCTAATTGTATGTTATTGGCCTAAAATCTTAAAACATTGTGACTGTGGATGAACCATCTCTGATCAGGAGGACGTTTTCTCCACTCACCTTTTCAATCATATCAGCACACTTTGTGGGATCTGCCTTAAATTCTTCAGTCACATCTAAGGTCAAAACTGGCACATCACTCAGGTAGTCGTACTCCATTCTGTGGAGCAGACAGGATGCAGACATGTTGTGTCAGAGACATTTAAAAGTCAGCATCTGTCTTCATTCATGACATCTTTAAAACACGTGTTTGTTTTATTGAACTCATATGAACCAAAAACCCAGTCTCACAGACTTATCAGAGTGTCTTTCTCTTTTAACTAAGATGAGGAACACAATAAACAATGTAACAACACTACGGACGCCCCCTGTTTCTATCATAAACATGTTGCGTACTGCTGCCATAAAATCCTGGTTCTGCTCACGTCATGGTCTTGTGCTGCAGCCAGCTCTCATGTTTAAAGTGGAGCTTCTCCAGATACTCCAGAGGAATGTCCTGCTCTTCTGCTCTGCCTCGCAGGTGCAGCCTCTCTAAACATTTCTGTGCAAAACAAGAAGAGAAAACGTTCCAATGTAAGATCAGAAGACTCGGCCATTAAATGCTGCCCTGTGTTTTTCTACATTCACCAAAGCAGCTTTTATTTAGTCAGCATATTTCACACCTGACTTCAGATTAACTGAACCGTTTAACCAAAACAAAAACACTGCACTTGGGAAAAAATGAATGACAAAAAGGCCGGAGCTGGTGAGAGGTGTACCTTAGGTGAAGCTCGGAGGTAGATGATACCGTCCAGCTCGATGTGCTTGCCAAACTGGCTATGCAGCCATCCATGCCAATCCTGGTACACAGACCATTCAGTTTCATTCAGACACTCAGCCTCATACAGGTTGGCTGCAAAGATATACCTGTTACACGAGTGTCGAGAAAGAAAAAAGACATTTTTTTAAATTTAGTTTAAACAGAAGATATAACAAAACAAACAAATACTAGAATATTTAAGGAATTTATTGATTTTTCTTTTTTTTTCTTTTTGGTATTTTTTGATATATTTAATCACATGAGTGGGCAAATATATATATATTTTTTAGCTAAAATGTGTTATATTATATATATATTAACTCGTTAATTCATTAGTTCAGCAAAAACAAGGGCTTCAGCTAACACATTCTCCAAGCCACCATCAAGACACATGGCCATTACTGTGGGCCACCAGTTTTATGAAGCTAAATTTTTTGTTAAACTATTGTACATTTTGCTTGACATTTTTACATATTAATAATATCATTGTTTGGATCAGTCATAAATAAAAACAGTTGCGAAACACATACAGCTACTTGCTGTTACTCGTCTTTCTGTTATATACAGATGATAATGTTTTTGTCATAGTTGGGAATGTTTATTTACCTCATTATATGATTATTAATTATGAGTAATCACAATAGTGTGTTCATGTATTGCTTAAACACAAGTATTGTTTACCTGCGTCAGTTTTATGCTATGTGCTATTTATTAGAAGACACGTAGCTTTGGCCATATTGGCCCATGAAAAGTCTCTACAACAGCTCCGAAGTTGTAACTTGTCAAAGAAAACAAATCCCACTCATTGATTCTAAAGACCATGTGTTTCCTTTATACCTGTCACTGTAAATAGATCGCTCGAAGAACTGCACAGGATTCTCTGCCTCCCTCAGCTTCCCGTTTGCCGACTTGATCTGGGCACGCACCCTGCTGATGCAGGCGTAGCTTTGGAAAGTGAAGGCCCACCTCTCAGGTTTCTCATACATCATCTGCAGGACGTTCCCTCCGCTCTTCTGAGATGTGGTCAGCTCCTGGGGGTTTTAACACCGTCAGTACATCTGCTGCAGTCACACAGACTTCACCAAAAATTACCTCTTTTTTTCTTCTTTTTTTGACCCCGTAATATGATTTTTCTGTTATTGTGCAAAATGTGTCATTTTTCCTGTTGACTATCATATAAAGGAAACTTAATTTAACTGAGTTGGACATTTTTATGTTTACACTCGTTACTCATAAAAATACCATTTTCTGAAGCAAAATAAGAGTCGATTTTACACTCGTTACTCATAAACATCCCATTTTCTGAAGCAAAATAAGAGTCGACCATGAAGACTAAAAACTAGGTCACTCACGGTACAGTTATTACCCAACTAAGGCTTATGAGTAAATTAACAGCTAAGGTGGAATTTCGAACTTAACTATGTTGTATATCGTGAAATACTTGAACGGATTTAAAACAGTGGATTGCAAACACAAAAGCAGCAGCTCATCTTATCTTCAGATTATCTTCACACCCACAGTAGCAGTGGGCGTGAATATAGAGGTTTACAGCAATGAGTTTGGAGATGCTTGCTATTGTGGTGAAGGCATGTTCATCTGACCAGTGGGACCATCTGTTTCCTGTGTGAGTGTGAGTGTGTGTGTGTGTGTGTGTGTAGTAACATGACAGACTACAGCTCGGATATGGAGACCTATGGCAGCTGCACTCTAAATACAGATGAAGAATCTCCTATTAATGAACGGGTGTAGTTTGCGGTTGCTAAGAAGCTAAATCTAGTTTTACACACCGAGTGTAAAAAAAACCCCCACTACAGATGTACACAGAAACGAGTTCATTTCCCCAATCTAGGCGGAAATGTTGAACAAACAAAATAGAAATGTATATTAACGCCACTCAGTAAACAAGGACCTTTAGTTCCATGCAGCTAATGATAGTATGATAACTATAATCTTAGTATATATTAATAATAATAATTAGTAATCTATCCTTTTTTAAATGACTGAAATGCACTTTATATCGAACTTTAATTAACCTTAATGGTCTGTCGCTGCATATACAATATCACCATAAAAACGATTTCTACCATATCGATATCGTATGGTATTATAAGACAAATAAATAAATAAATAAATAAATGTATGGTATTATAAGATGTTACGTGGTACTGTGTTTTGTTTGTCTTATTTATTTATCTTCGTTGTTTACATTTGTAAAGTTGTTGGAATTTCTTCGACATATTTTTCATATTAAACTTTTTTTCTGAAGCGAAATGATAATAATGTGGCTGAAGGCTTTTTCTGAGAGCTAAAGTTTAGCTACACGGTTTACAAACACCCGTTTCTGAATACCAAAACAACTTGGATAAATAACTTCCCTGGTGTAATGTTGTTTCATTTACAAATATCTTCAGATTATGTTAATATGTAGATTTAATGTATTTTTCTTTGTATTTTATTTAATAACCTGTGATGGCACATTGTGAACACTACCTCAAAGTCATTGCCGTTTGTTTGGACATTGCACCACCTGGCGATGGGCTCTGGTACTACTTCCCAGTCTGTGCTCTCCTGCTCCAAAAGGCGGACAAATGTGGATTTACCCGCCGCTAAGGACAGAAACACGACACGGCTCAGTCACATAACAGAGGGCAATTATTAAAATACAACCTTCGTTTATGGTGTTAGTTCGTTAACTCAGAGTTAAGTATATTTACTTATCTACAGTCTGTATTTGACAGATGCACATTTTTAGCTAAATCCTTAAATAGCGTTCTTAAATGGTTTAAGCCGAGTATTGCACTCACCAATGTTTCCCTCCACTGAAATCCGCTTTATTCTTTTCTCCATCGAGTCGTTCAGTGAGTCACTTACAGAGTCGTTCATAGAACAGTCCAGTGAATCGGGACATGGTCTCTTGGAAGTGTAAGACATTTTTGCTAAATAAATCAACAGACCAGTACTGGTGCAGCTGCTTCACGGTAACGCGCGCCTCTCGGTTCCTTAAATTTGGCGGCAACAAACGTCAAAGATTGACGGTCCCCGCCCCGGAACAGGCGGCCGCTGAAGCTGCCATTGTGGCTCCAGCAGGTGTCGCCCCGTTTCCAAATTGCTCCCTAATGCAGGGCTGTATCTCTGCCTTATTGACGGATACGTTAGTCTGTGATCAATGATATTATTAAACAATAACATACAGAAAGTTGGCTTTAATTTTTCTGTATACAAGTTTGTGTTGAAAGCGAAGTGGAAATGCGAATATGCAATTAAATACAGATGTTTCACATCACATATATAGCATTGCAACTAAAATAAACAACACTTTTGTTCACTAACATTATCATGACGAGACGTGTCCCAGTGTATTATATATATATATATAAACGTCATAAATTTTATTACTAGTATTATCTATGTCCAAAACAACAAAAAACCAGAAGTACCTCTTATTATGAAATATCACAATGAAATTACGTCACCAGTTCGTTAAAGGTTGGTTTAGCCAACAGATGTCATTATGTAACCGGACAAAGTGTGGTTTTAAAACCACAATGATCCTTCAAATACTCAAACTGTCACTGTACCAAGATTAAACAGGACTGCTACTATTATTACTACTATTTGTATGAAAATCAGGTGTCACTCAGTTGTCACAATACTGATTTGAAATTTGTTAATTTACTGGAAACTCTGTGAAAGTATTTTTTTATTTTTGTCTTCAAGGCCTGTTTCCAAACCAGCCTAAAACTTTTGCACAAGCAACAAACACAGACAATTTAAAGACTCAAGACCAACTTTATTTGTCTTGTAAACAGCAGAAATCAATTCAGTAGCAATGAAAACCCCCTACCGAGCCTTTATGTACAAACATTGAATCAAAGTATTACAGCTGAGGAGGATGTACGTTGTTATCATCATTAAAACAAAAACAAAACAAGGATGCATTCAGGTTGATTGATTTCCACGGAGCAGTAACATTCATAGTACTTAGCTATGTTAGTGAAAAGGATACTGACATGTAAAACAAACTGAAATTCATATTCAAACTAAGAAAAGGGGGAGGCAGCCTCTAAAAAGACTCCCAGTGTTTTCTAACAAAGAACTAAGCACTCGCTCTCTGGAAACTTCAGTATTTACATGTGTGCAGTTAAGTGTAACACTTCTGAAACATCAGATATAAAACCTGTTCTGAAACTGAACCAGAACGAGACGCCAATCTGTCACGTCTTAAATACACGGAAATTTAAATACTGAGAAAGGAAACTCATGAGTGGATATAAATTGAATGTGTTTTAGCGATCAAACCTTTTAGTGTTCTAGCAATTATTGCATAGTCATCTACAATTGGGAGATTTGGAAAGTGTACATGCATCTGCCGATCCGAGCACAGCGACAAACCTCTCAGACCGTACAAAAGCATTGAAAATCTCACTTGTGCTGATGTGTCGCTCATGTCGGAGAAGAACAGGCAATTCAACATTCACATGGGGAAAGATGAGAGAAAACAAACTCATCAGTCACGTGATACGGCTTCTCACAAACTATGGTCTACGCAGTATAAACATTCAGGCAACGAGAGGTCAGGAAAAAACGTTCAAAGTGCTTTATGGCTTAAAAGAGAACGAGGGATGCTTCAGAAATCCTGATTTCAAAACTTTCAAGTACCTATGACTAAGTTACTGACCTTAATATACATTTAAAAGTTTCCAGATCCCTTGAGGACGTAATCTAAAATGTATCTGCGGTTTACAATATCGGGCAGAAAACTAGTACAACAGGAACAGCTAGAAAAGGCTAATAGGGTTCAGTTCATTTACAGACCCTCCTACAACATGACAATAATCTGGCCTTAACTATACATCTGGAAAAAAACACATTCATTCATCATAGGTCTGCACAACACAGGCAGCAGAGAGATGCAAACTATAAAAGGATATGCTTGACCAAAAGAGGAAGTAACAAATGTACAGCACAAGTAGAAAGGGAGTCTAAGAAGGACACAAATGTGAAGCTTCCTTCAGTGTTCCGTCTGATACAAATGGCCTTCGTCGTCTGGTGGTTAATGTTGACAATGGGCATTTAGGAGCCATAGTAGGCACTTGGGATATTTTTGTGTGTTTAAAGATGTGAGCAGCAACAAACTCAGCTGCTCTGATGATGCTTGGTTCATGACATGAGCCTCTGATGTGGAGCAGACCTACAGTAAAAGGCCGATATAAACTATTACTAACTATTTTAATGAACTGTTGTTGTACCCAATTCTCCCTGTGAAAAAAAGTCTCTGAAATAAACCACCTCCACTACACCATTCAAAAAATTAGCCATTGCTGAATACTTGGTCTGACTTCACTACTTAAAAATCTTTGTATCTAATATTTTTTATCTGTGGTTTGTTCAATTGAGTTATCCCTGACAGCATCGGTTCTGGTGCTTTAACTCTATCAAGACCCTTCCTGTTTCCTGGCCTTTTACAAAAATCCCCCATATGGAAATATAGTATATACTGCATATGTACAGCCAGGTTGGGGCGGGTATCTGTGCAAAAACTAGAAAACCAACAACATAAAGGTGACACTGCTGCTTATCTGTCCTTAGTGGTGAGTTTTTCAATCAGCTCCTGTAGTGGAACCAGTTCCTTCCTTTCAATGAGGTTGAACTCCTGAAAAGACAAAGGAAGAGAAACAAACGTTATCTTCAAGTTGGACTTTTATGAATGTCAAAATCAGACATGACTGAGATTCTTCACCTGAACGAAAAAGATGAAGTGTTTGAATGACGTGTTGAGGTGAGCCTCCTCCTGCAGCTGCATGACAGAGTCAAAATGCTGGTGGTAGATGTGGGCGTAGACCCTGAACAGGCGCTTCAGAATAGTCTTTGCCACGGACATAAAGTTTCGCTTAAAGGGGACACCTAAAGATAAAAAAAAAACATAAAAAACAACAGTATAAGTTGTGGGCCAAACATGATTATCATTTATTGATCAGTTTAGTGCTGACAACGGTCAGAAATATGGAATTTGGGTTAGAGCGGATCTTCGACTTATGTCAGAATTCCGTTCCTTTGGCGTGGCATAACTCAATTTATGCTGTAAGTCTGAACTCACACAGTGTCCATAAGTATCTATGTCACTCATGCATCCAGTAAACATTGGTACAGACTCTAAACTATGGACTTTTATGTTAAGAAAGACAAATACATGTTAAGGTCAGGTGGGCCACATAAAATGACGTGACGGGATGGATTCAAGCCACGGGCCACAGGTTTGACATTAGTGTTTTAAATATTTAATGTTTGACGGAGCACATAAATATTGTTATTCCTTTAAGGATAAAATAATGAGCTCCAGATTCCTTTTATATCTGTATGTAGCTGCAGGTCAAACAAACTGAGTCAAAAGGCTCCAGAAAAAACAACAAAGCCAAAGCAGCAAGCAACACTAAAAGTATGTTCTCTGGGATTAAAGGTGTTAACAGGCAGGCTGCAGCATGATTGGAGGTGAAAGCAAACAACGGAAGTTGCTACACAGATCCAGCTCATGCCCTGTGTCAGGTAAAGTGTAGGGAGATCATGTGCAATGATGTTTTTAAAGGCTAAAAAAGCTGAAATAGATTCATTGATCCGAGGTTATAAATGACACAAAGTCAATGATTTTGTTTCCAAGTATCTACAGTTGTGCATTTATCTACATTTTACCCTGATTTCAGACACCAATTATTATTTAAAATGTGGATGGGGGAAATTATTTATTTAAATAAGAACTAAAACCATTGGAGACTCAATCCAATATTTAAGGATATTTTATATTGTCTGAGCTATTTTGTGTTGTCATAAATAAAAATATATTTTTTAGGTTTCCCAACCCCAAAAGGATCATAGAAGCTAAACGCCATCTCCTGGCATCACTAGGCAGTACAGACCAATCTCATGTTTTAATCGAGGTTTACTGTAGTAAACAGTGCAAATGCAAAAGAAAAATCAAGATTTCTCTACTTCTTGAATATTATATGAATTGATTGAAAATTGTATTACACACTGACATAATTATTTGTTGACAAAAATCAGTACCCTTGTGTTTTCAGACTTGGTTCAAATCCAGTTTCCTCATGGGCCATTTGTATTCTTTTATAATTTCAAATGTCAAACCTATAAAAAAACAATAATAAAAGTATCTTTTTCATCCCACAATGGGGGAATTCTCAGTGTCAGTCTTTGCAACCCACACAAACTACTTAGTGCTAGTACAAATGCAGAGGACTGGTGAGTAAACACCATATCAACAGACAGGCAGCCCACTGATATTACTGTTATCTGTGATATTGTTGAATATATTGTCAATGAGATTGAGTGATTCAAGAACATGAACTCATCCTGTGTTCATTAAGAAAATATGTTGCCTGTGCTGGAAAGTGTTTAGTAAAGTGTAAAAGACTCTGAGAAATGAAACAAACAAACCAATCTTTGATGGAAACAGCGTCTCATCATCCAGCTGGTCTTGAACCCAGGTCATGAGGTAATCAATGTACTTGGGAGCAGAGCATTTGATGGGCTTCTTGATGTTAGTTCCATCGGCCCAGTGGTATTCATACCTAAAGAAAACACACAACGCGCGCACACACACACACACACACACACACAACCCTGTTAGTTCAGTCAAGCATCAGATTCATAAACACACAGTGAGTGTGGTGGCACACACTACTGTCAACACACAGGCTGAGTAAACACACTGAGAGTCTGCAGAGCCTGGCAACAGCAGGCCACACTTCAGACAAACAGTGCTGGGTGGTTTCTAATGTCAAGTGTTCAGTAGCTGAGCTCAAATCAGACCAGGCCGTGTTTGATCAATGAAGTGCTGAGGCCAGACAGACGAAAGACGGAAAACAACACAGTTTGTGTTTTGATGATTTTGATTCTGAACTTACTTGGGCCCAGCAGACATGACTGGACAGCTTTCCTCTGTACAAAAGTCTGTGATGGTGCCGTACAGCATGTTGATCTGGTTGAAGAAATCCACAGCTGAAAGGTTGGACACAAAACAAATTTAAACCAAGAGAGCGTGAAACAAAGAACAACCAGAGATAAAACTGGAATCATTATTCTCTAAAAATCCCTTCTCCCCTTTACTACAGTATCACCCAGACCAGCTCATAGATCAACCTGGAGACCAGCACACAGACCGGCCCACGGACCAGTCACATATTCTGTAATTACTCAGTCCCAGGTGCTCAAAGACAACCTTTCCATCACTTGATTCAGCTCTATGAAGAAGGCTGGCAGTGTTAATGTCGTTAATTATAGATGTAAATAAATACTGGACAGCTGCACAGGCACTATGTACTGGTGTCAAGAGGGGGCGTACTTCACTGCTGTTAATTCTTCACTTTTCAAAATCAATACTCAAGCAAAATAAATATGCTGAAGCGATCGGGAATTTCTTTAGAGAGTGTAACACTAAAGGAAGAAAAAGAAAAAAATAGAGAGAGTGCTCAGATGGGAGCCACAACTTCAAAAGACAAACATGCCTCAAGTTGCCTGTGTAGGTTCTCAGTTAATGCCTCAAGTTAATGTTGCATAAAAACTGTTACATAAGGTCAACTCTGATCTCTTCCTTTTCTCACTATCAAAAGAAGGCGAAACTGTGTCTCGTAAAATGAAAAAAGAAACCTGACATAGAATGACAAACTTAGAAACCGAGTCATTTGAGCAGCTTGTATTACACAAACTAGTAAATAGCAGTTTGAACAAAGCTTTGATGAAACAAGAGAAGAAGTCATGCAACGCTGGTAAAGTAAATGAATCCTAAACTAATCTTTCTGGTCACACTGTACTGTAACTGTGTCATGCATATACTTCATTCAAAGCAACAATAGATCCTTCCAGGAACTAATTACAATTAAAATCACAAAGTTTAAATACTTTTGTTCCAATTTTGAATGCATTTCAAAACTGTCCGATAAATGGAAAAATAAATCATTTTAAAACAAAAAACTAGAGAGAACTAGTAGAATAGCAGTAAAAGGAACTTCGTCCCATGAGGACATTGGACGTGAGACGAAATAAACTTTCTCCGGGCAGCAATTTGGAGGAAAGTAAAGACGGCTTTCAGCACGGACAATAAAGTCTGTTTAACATTCAGAGTGAATTTCCAGAATGAACACCCATGGTCCTTGGAGCAGTGCCACGGTCTTATACTCTTGACAACCACACAAGTGATATTTGATTTGGAATTTTGAAATATGAGCAACAAGATGTTCGACTGAGGATATAACAACATAAATAAAAAAGTGGGAAGAAAGAGTACGTGACAGATGATTTAAAAATATTAGTGCAAGTGTCAAATATCTCTTCCAGGAATGATAACTAAAAAATGGTATAATCGAGGGAGCACAAGAGGAGGTGGGGTTAAGTAAACTTGGCACTTACTGTTGACTGCGACCCATTCATTTAAGTCTTCTCCCTCAGGCAACATGACTGCCATGCGCAGGTTTCCACTTCCCAGTGTAGCCTCTGCATGTTTCAACAGCTCATACTGGTGAGAACCCTCCGGTATGTTCTTCTTGGGCTTGAATGTCTTGGACGAACGGCTTCCACTGTGAGTCACATTTCAAAAGAGGAAGAAATACACAAGAAAGGAGTCAATAGTGTTGGCAAATCACGGCTTTGCCCTGATGTGGGCCCAGTTACATGTAAGGGTTGAGATTAAAATCATTTTCACAATTCATGTTGATATGTTTGGTGTGATCAAGAGTACAGGGCCCAATATTGAGCAGCATTTAGAGAGGAAGTGAAGTAGTAACAGGCAGTGAATCATCACAGTGTGGTTGGTAACACACTAAAATGGTTCCTTTCAACCGAGGATGACTAACATTCCAAAAGAAAGGTGTAAGATCACTAAGATTTTCCATTTAACTTGTGTGGTAGATCATCAAGTTCAACACATACAAACAGTTCCTAACGGAGAACCACAGTAACCCAACATAAGGTGATAAATGACAGCAACGATAAACATGTGGATCTTTAAGTGGTACCGTTTATGGAGTTAACCTTATAAACTGTATTATATTAGAACATTCAATAGTGACGTTTCCATAACGTGAAGTAACTACAATGGCGTTTACATGCTTTTGTAAGCTCAGGTTCTTACACAATTGAACCGTTCTCTTGTCCAGGGGAACGCATAACTCTATTCTTACTCGACAAATGGCCAAATCCGATATTATCTGACGGGTTCTGGTTGGTTCTAACAGTGGACACAAAGTAGTAACACCAGGAAATACTCATAGCCGAGACTGTGTGGACCTCACAGTTAAAATCTCCTAGGACTTAATTTTGAACGAGTCATTTCGGAGCACAACACAACAACGGGAATCGTAATTTATTATTACTCCAAGTCCGAATCTTTAATTTATAACAACAATATCTCCACAGATCAAGACGAATTGAACCAGCCAGGCGAGTAGTATCCCCGGTTATAGACGCAGCCCATACTATAGCTCATTAACCAAGCTACTAGCTAGCAAGTTCAACATACGTATCCAGTATTACCGACATTTTCAAGTACAAAGCGGAACAGCAATATAGCACACGATGTAACAGAATAATTTCAACTTACAAAAGAAAGCTCATATTTCTCCAAGGTGTGAAGAGAAGTCTTCCGGCAAATGGTAGGGAACAGTGCACTCAGACAGCGAAGAGACTGTTTGACACACCACTAAATTCTTCTCTCACGCCCTCGGTTCTTCTCTTCGTTTCAGAGTCTTTTTGGTAAGCACTCAACAAATACAGCTGGAATTTAATAAATATCCGCTCACTTGAGAATAAAATAATATTTTTAAATAATATTTGATAAACCCTTATTCACCGGCTGCTGTTATACACTGAGAGGCAGCAGCATACTGAATGTTATGCTTCTTCTACTACGCCACACGCAGTTCAAACGCGGTTTGCTGCCATCTATTGGAAAGCAATTGCAAATTCATTTATTACCCAATCGTTATAGATAGATAGATAGATAGATAGATAGACAGACAGACAGACAGACAGACAGATAGACAGACAGATAGACAGACAGATAGATAGATAGATAGATAGATAGATAGATAGATAGATAGATAGATAGATATTTAATTGCTCATTATGATCTTGTAAGTTTCTTTGCACAATATGAAAATGTACAATATTAATTTTTGCAAGTTTACTTAACCCACAAATAATAGTTTTTTAAAGTAAGAGGCTATAATAAATTGACATGTTCCTTATTATAAAGAATTCCTTATTATGGTCTCATGCCGTGAGCTAAGGATAGGTTACCATGGTGATGAAGCCAGCTACAGCGTACAGTGTGCCACGTTTGTTATGCTGACAACATGAGCACATCCACTGACCTTGCGTCATAGTGCAATCCCAAGCATCAGCCAGACTGAGTGGAGGAGGAGCTGACCAGCAAAGGTGAGCAGCCATAAACACAAAACAGGCTGGACAAGGAAGGAAGAGACAGGACAGCCAGGTTATGTCAAACACACAGAAAACCTGTGTGCCAGTGTTTCACAAAACACTACAGAGAGTCCCTGCAGAGATTTTCAAAGAAGAGTGAGTTATGAATTACAGCAATCAGCAAAATGCGGGGAGATGGCAATCAAAATGAACTTGAGGTGTTTGGTGATGATGGATAAGATACCAGACGAAGGAGCAGCCCTGATCTGTCTGGTCCACCAACACCCACTGATTCGATCCCCAAACAACTCCTAACACTGAAATGATGTCTTTTTAATCTATGTCTCAAATACTGTTAAAGAACTTCATGCCTTGATAACATTTATTATGATTTACTCAATCCCATTCTTAAATCCAGCACATTGTTCTAACTGTATTGTGTCCAGCACATTGATTTGAGAAACATTCACTTTCTCTTTAATCTGTATCAGTCAACAACATCTCTCAAACTACATCAAACACGGATGACTCATCATTTGGTTCCAACTTTTCCACTGTTTTTACTTTGTTATAATCAATGATATGTCAAGGAAATTGATCCCAACAAATTTGTTGGGTAATGTGATACTTACTATTTTACGTAGAATTATTTAATATGTTTTTTTTTTTCATTTTTGCAACATCCCAAGCCAAATTCAAGATAAACAATCCATCAATCCAAGATTTAAGATACTTACGATTTGAACATCTTCTAATTGGCTGACATGTGGTCATATCCTTTCTAGTTGTAAGTGAAAACCATGTAACAGTTTTAACAACATCAATAAATGTTTAATCCAAACATGTGGCTGGACTAAGCAAAAACATTTTCATCATTTTTTTATTTCAAGAATGAATGTGATGGCAAGATAAAGGGTAGAAAAATATCCATCTGTTGCTAAGGCAACTGGTGTGCTTTGATGCCATCCATTTTCAGCACTTTTGAGCCCAACACAACATAAAAGGATGGTGAAGGCAAGTCTTAACATGAGTTTCTTAGACTTTTGGAAGTGACGACAAACAAAGAAACACCAAATTATGGCAGGTTTTGCCTGCAAAAAAACATAGGACCAATTTAAGTCTTTTCAGTGATTTGTGTAATGACTGGCAGTGATTGGTGCCACAAAAGAGAAAGAGCCAAAGCAAAATAATGGATTCCAACTGTTGCAAAGCACCAAGAAGAGCTGTGTTGTTTGCCATGGTTACTACTGATAACATGCTGCTGTGCTCCAAGAAGCAGGTACATTACCAATTACTGCTGAAATGTACAAAGTGGTCTTTCTGGAACAGATTTTTGTGTCTGTCTTGCTTTCACTTCAAGCACTTTTCTTCTCTTGGCTAAAGATTATTTATCTGAATCAGATAATCAGTTTTAACCTTTAGAAGAACAAAGTCAATACATGCTTTTGTTTCAGCATCTACTGGATTATTGCAGCATCCTTTTCACCTGTCACAACCAAAGTGGACTGTACAGAGGGTACAAGCGAGAAATACTAACACTTCAATCACATTTCCTATTCTTTGCACAAACAATATTGCCCAATAAATTATACCTATAGTGTAACAATAATGCACTGTATAAGTCACTACTGTGACTTTATAGCCCCTGTTGCAATACCTGAAGTTGGCATAGTAAAAATGAAAACAATAAATCCTGCCTTTGAGAGATTCAGATTGTTTGTTGTTCTAAGCAACCATTTTCAATGAACAATCACCATGAATCATCATCATATCGCATCATAAATAATATATGTCTGTAATAAATAGTTTTAGATCACACTAGACAGAAAATAAAAGATTTGTCCAAAAACCCTGACAAAAAAATTAGACAGAATCAATGTAATTTTATTATTTTTGAACAGTGGCTCCTGAACAGATTGCAGGAGCCATCATTATATACATTTTATTTTTTAAATGTATTGTTTCACACCTTTACAACAATGTTCTCGATTCGTCCTACAAGGTCAAATCATCATTTAAAAACATTGACTTGAAGACACGTCCTCGTTTGAGTGGAATCATCCCAAATAACCATTAGATGTCGCCATTTTGCTCAAAATCCACATAGTTGCTCTCGGAAGAATAAGCGCTGTCGGGAAATGTTCACCCTTTTATATACAGTGTCCAAAAATATCTCACGAGCAGTGAATTTGCGTTGTGTGTTTCTGTTGCTATTGGTTACAGGCAGTAATAACATAAAACGTTTTAATGACTGGTGGACATACCGGGTAAATAAAAGGGTTGCACTAGGACCCCTCGGCTGTGCGTCAAGTGACGGGGCAGCCAGTTATATGCGACGCTGCTCTGTATGGCCCGCAGCCTTTTTCAGCTTGCTGCGAAAACGGATGTTCCTGTTGTTAACAGGCCCATGCCTGAAAAGCCAGACAGACCGTCACATTTCAGCACAAAGCCAGCTACACTCGAGCGAGTCGGTCGACACAGGTAAACGCCTCTGTCATTGTTTACGGCACGGCCCTGTCTTTTAGCCCCGTCTCGCTGTTCTGCTTAAAGGACTGGTGTAAGGTGAGTGGCTGTGCTGACAAATCATCCGTGTCACTTCATGTTGTCTTTATACGCAGCAGCAGCAGCAGTACAGCAAGATGGAGTGTGAGTGGAAGCCAGACGAGCTGGGACTTCGACAGATTTTACAGCTCCTGAAAGAGTCTCAGTCTCCAGACACGTCCACACAGAGATCCGTCCAACAAGTATCCTTTACGCAGCCACACTGTCTTATTGATCGGTGCTGCTCTGCACCGTCTGTCAGGCTCGATAGAATAGCTGTGGCCGTGTCCAGTACCGCCGGTGGCGGTGCTGTTGGTGGCGGACACTGTAATAATCTGGTACTAAGTGGTTGTTGTTGTTTGTGCCTGATATTAATCCAAGCTAACAAAGCGGGGCCTCGCGTTGCTGCTAAATGTCGCCGAGTCGCTGTCATTGTATTGACCATTGTGTTGTTATTGTGTTATGATACATCAATACACCAGACCAGCGCTGAGGTTTCCGATGGGTAATCGCATCCCTGAACGCCCTCTATCACCTCGAATTAGTCTGCATCAGTAACGAGCTAATTCCATCAGCACCGTGTACTGTATATCATCCACACCGTCATCTTAAAGTAACAGTGGACCAAGGTGTTTACCCCACGTCCCTTAGTCTGGCCTGTCAAAACATCACGCACGCCGCGTGATTGATGATGTGGACACTAGGTATAATGTGGTACACGGTAAAGTGGCTCCGCTGCTGCTGTTACACGTTTGCTATAGGACTGGACATGGTATGGAATCAGAAACGGTCGTCTGGAGGTTCATTACTGTTGTTTGTCCAGTGTTTTTCCCCCCTCAGATGGAAACAGCACTGCAGCTGAAATGATTTTCCCCCCCTTTGTCACATTTTGTATAAGCCTGTAAAATGGTTATAATGTGAAAATTATAGTCGATGATCAGTATATGACAGTGTTTCCCAAACTTTTTTTCAGGGGACCCATATTTTCACAAACCTTTGCGACCCAAGTCAATAGACATTATTCATAAACTCCTGGGAAACATGATGCGAGATGACCCAAAAAAATAATAATTCTCTTTTGACCCACTTGAGGGTCACGACCCAGTCTTTGGGAAACAATGGCAGTGGTTAGCTATAGTTGTGGTCGTTGGTGTTCAGGCAGAACACGTTCGCTTCAGGAAATAAAAAAATAAAAATAGGAAATATGTGATTTGTGTGATCCCATATGGGTGTTTTTTTTTTTAAATAAATAACGGATGTGTTAAACGTTCTCTAACTGCGTGTAATTTTGGGTGTATTTATTTGTTGTAGTAATTTCATGCTAAAGGATAATTACTTAATGTAACTCTCAGAATTAAACACTTATAAACAGTAATTAAATACAAACACATTTGCTCAATTCCTATGTATTTACCCAGTGAATACTTGCACACTCGCAGCTAAAATAGTATAATTGTTTATATTACTATTTTTGGGGGGTTTTGAGGCATAAAAATTTGCTACACAGATGTATTTCCTCATTGTTTATTTCATGTTCAGACATAAAATGTTAATGTCAATTATGAACTGCCAACATTTATCAACAGTTATTACACAATTCAGTGATGAAAAATAACAATAACAAAGTCACAGTTTACCTGGGCGTGGTCTGAAGTGGGTCAAATAACAAACAAAGCAATTAAACAGTACTAGCATGTCTTGAATGTTTCTTTTGGTCTAGTCAAAATGTTACCTGACAGGGTAAGTCTTCCACATACTGAGACCTTCAATATAGAAAGCCCTTTAACTTAAGACGGAGCAGAATGTGGGAAAACTAGTAGATTATTAGCAACGATTAGGCCAGGCACCTGCTCTTTCTTCACCCATCCAGTTCAGAAAGTACTCAGTAATTACCATTAGAAGGTGCTGACAGACCTTTTAACATGTCTAATGTACACAAAACACCCCTTTTTTCCTCAACCATCTTCCCCAGAGACTGGAGCAGCTGAACCAGTTTCCCGACTTCAACAACTACTTAATATTTGTTTTAACAAAGCTCAAATCTGAAGGTAGGAAACATGATTTTTTTTTTAATCCATTTCCTGGGCAAAGATCGCAATTATTATTATGTAACAGACAGGCAGTGGGCCTGTGAAGCCGTGACTCTGCTGCCCAGATGGCATTGTTACCACAGATGAGGTGGCACTCAGAATGTGGGTCGTACTAAATTTAAACCTAATTCCTGGCATCACGCCGCTCTTGGCTCAATGTGTTTGTTCAGAGGATGACCCAAATGGTAAATGCTGTTACAGCATCTCCTGGAGATCAGATTTAACAAGTCTGGACTATTCCAAATGAATTAATTAGTTAATTAATCTAAGGTAGGGGAGTCTAGATTTTATAATCTTTTGTCTATTATTAACTTTAAATAAGAAACAGATTTGCTTATTTTGAAGATTTAATTGAATATTTTTACAAACCAAACTGGTTGTAGTTTGCGACTGCGATCTGCTCAAATAAAAAAATCTAATGTCTGCGAAGGGCTGGGTGATTGAATCACTGCACTGTTATCTATGCTGTGACTCAACTCGCGTGTTTATTTTACAGTTCTCTTGTGCTGTCTCTCCACTCTGAACAGATGAACCAACGCGGTCCCTGAGTGGTCTGATACTGAAGAACAACGTCAAAGCCCACTATCAGAACTTCCCCAATGGTGTTTCTGATTTCATCAAGAACGAGTGTCTCCAGAACATTGGAGATTCATCTCCCCTCATCCGGGCCACTGTGGGTATGTAGCATTCATGGGTTGGGGTCTGGTTTTGTCTGGTCACCAAACCCTCATGTGTTATCATAGTGATGGGAAACACAGTAGAATTCGTCAATTGTGTAATTATTCATAAATTATAGCTTTAATTATAATAAATTAATGAAATGCACAGTTCTGGTACTGATTTGGTTATTGGCAGATAGGTTTCATATTTTCAAGGTTCACTCGGAACCGACTCTTGGATAAAAAAAATACACGTGATACTGACTTGGGAAGTGCCAGAGATTGTAATAGTACACTTGTAGTAAATGTTACACAGTTAAGACAGCAGGGTTGACATTTGATCGCTTCACAGCTAGTTATTAAAAACTGTTATGAATGACAGAGCAGTCTGTGACCATCCTTTAGTCCTGCCTCACTTTCTCACCAACATTTAACCCCTTCATGTCCAGGTATCCTAATCACCACGATCGCCTCCAAAGGAGAGCTCCAGAACTGGCCGGAGCTTCTGCCTAAGCTTTGTCAGCTGCTGGATTCTGAAGACTACAACACATGTGAGGTGAGATGGTGTGAACAGTGGTGTGAGTCAACTCTGCTGGGATCCTGTGACGACTGTTGAGCAAAAAGCATTACCCAGATCCAGATAACAAGGCTTCTCTTTGTTTAGAGCACATCACATCCTTCCGAGCTGTTCGGCCTTTAAAATATGCATACGATCATTTATGAGCGAATCAGGTCACCATGTGTAATGCTATAATTACTGCATACTGTAAAACTGTGTCGGGCCTGTTGGACTGTGAACATGAAACGCTCGAGTGTTTTTGACTTTACATCGTTAATCATCCTTAATGTACACAGTCAGCACAATCTCAAATCAGAAAAAAATGCACCTAAGCTCTTTTCCTTTGCCGATATCTGATATGCAGATATTGTCCGAACACTTTCTGATTCCAATATCAACCGATAGCAATGTAGGCCTGGTAATATTTATTTATTTTTCTGTACAAACCACTGTAGGAGTTGCTGGCACCAGCATTCTGCATACAATCCCCTGATTATTAAAATAGATAAATAAAATGAGCTGCAATGCTGCCATCTAGAGGCCTTTACCCTCATATACAGCTGTTTCTCCCCCCAAAAAAATCATTTGACGAAACCCAGGCATTGCGTTATTGGGTTTTCTCACATTTCCGTACGCTAATATTGGTCATCCCTAATATATTCGGGTCAGCCATGTTTGTACTGTCAGCTGCATGTGCCTGTGACATAAGCCGCTGTAATAAAGCTGAATTCCTCCAGGGGAGGACAAATTGAAGAGCATGTAAAGCTGTCATGCTAAATTCAGCTGCTGGAAATGTTATCTGAGTGGGATTACCCCTCACTGTCTGGAGTCTCCACGTGGTAACTTGGTCTTGGGCTCAATTCCATTTCAGCACTTGCTCCTCTTGTTGGTTTACTTTGGACATATCACGGAGAAAAGTGTATTTATGTTCAGGCAGCCTGGCGGTGGTACTGTATATTATATGAACCCCAGTGGTTCATGATGGCACTATCTCGATGTTAATCCAATAGTAGTTTCTGATGATTTTCAAGGCTATCATTTATGCTGGTCAGTTTTTTTTTTTGTTGCCTATTTCCATGTCTGTGGTCACTGGGGGTCTGTGGCCTCCATTCCTTGTTTAATGCAGGATCGTTTGCTGCTGAGTCTCACACACGTCCTGTAGGGGGCGGGGGCACAGTTTGGCCTTGTCACCTTCTGTTGGCTGCTAGGATCCTCTGATTGTCAAGTGATTTATGAGGCTAAAGTAAATCATAAGTTGAAAAAAACACATTTACAGTAATTTCACATATAGTGATTACAAGCCTTAGTTACAATATTTAATTTTTTAATTCAAACCATTTTTTTTTACAATGTTTTGTAACCTCTGACAGTTTATTCCTACAGTTTTGGAATTTTTTGACAATATTTTGTAACCTCTGACAGTTCATTTATTCCTACAGTTTTGGAAATTTTTGTGAGATTACAGCACAGCGGTTCCTAAAGTGTGGGGCGGCCCACCATGAGGGGCAAAGTTGGTCCAATTAATAAAAAATGAAATTTGTGCCACAGTGATAAAAAAATTCACTGATTTTCAATTTTATTTCCCTTTCAGTCAGAATATATAGATACTCCTATCTAAGACAAAACAAAAAGGGTTATTCTGCCTTTTTTTTTTTGCAGTTCTCTTGTTGTTCTGTTGTTGACTTCTCGCTGTTCCTTTCATTGGTGCACATGAGCTAAACTGCGTAACACTGCCCCCCCTGACTTCCAGTGGTATTGTTTGTTTGTCAGCAAGCCATCTGACAATGTATCAATTTGAAAAAACAAAAAAAACATTGCATGCTCACTTAGCCAGGAGCCTTAAATCTTTCTGCAGAATTGAATCTACAAAACAAAAAAACATTCCATGCTCACTTAGTTACTTACTTAAATCTTTCTGCAGAATTGAATCTACAGAAATGTTCTTGAATGTGAATCATCCTGGTTTAAATGTTCATTATTTTTGAGTATTTTAAAAAAAGCCCTTTTATGTGATGTCAGCTGCTGTTCAACAGCTTGACATGGTGTTTCTCCTCGGTCGTTCCAGCTAATCAGGTTCAGCCTTGAGAAGCATTTTATTCAGCTGAAGAATATACCAGAGTTCACCATCGCTCTGCTGCAGACCTCGTTAATGGGAGCACCAGACCCAGTGGATACCTGTCATAGCAAATTATTTTCCAAACGGGCTTGAACGTTGCCACGGAGACCTCTAAATAATCCTCACCGTTGCTGCCACTAGGACGTTCTATTTCGGGAGCGTATTCCTTGGCTGTCAGTGTTTGGACACATTATGCCTTGTCGGAATGGGAGCCATGTAAAAGCTGGTGATTCTCATTGACTAAAAGTGTACAGTATGTACAGAGTTGTCATAACAGGTGGTCCTGTGCACCTTGTACTCAGCATGTTTTTAACAGTCATACTCCAGTATTTGATGTC